TATAACCAATTCCAGCTTCCGTTAAACATCGACGCTACAAAAGAAGCGGAACTTCTTTGATGTGAGGTCTGGATGATCAAGAAATTATTTCCCAGTGCATATTAACGTGACAAAAAACTCATAACAGAACTCTTTAGTGAAGGAGATTATTAAAGTCAGAATGTGGAAAAGCGATTTATGTATAATTAGGTCGTATTTCGAGGGCCGAGACCTCCATAAAATCATTGATAAAGACATTATGGTGTAATAAAATCACTGAGCTCTGATTGGTCGATAATTACTGCCGATAGTCAGCAGATTGGGTCCTGTTTTTTCTCATCCGTTTCCGTCTCAGAACAAGAGGCAGTAATTGATTGTCTTATTTCTGCATTGTTTCAGCAGATAACGCTTCTGTTTTCTTACTGATAACAAAAAAATCCATAATTTCTGTCATTTTATGCTGATTAGACACAATTTCTACTTATAATATGCACTGTAATGATTAATTGGTGTAGCAGTTCAGATAAATTCAGATCCTTTAAGCTCTTATAATATGCACTGTAATAATTCATTGGTGTAGCAGTTCAGATAAATTCAGATTCTGTAAGTCTATATATAATATGTACTATGTTGTCATTGCAGTAAGTTTAGAAAAGACTCTTTGAAACTAATAAGTAAACAAACAGTTCATTTTATATCATTTTCATCAACTTCAGTTCCAAGCTCTCGAGTCTTAATCCATTAATGTTTCTAATTTAAGTTTCACTATAAGTAGTGTGGAGGGGTTGCTAGCGTGGAAGGGTATGCTTACTCTTCCAGAACATCTGATGCCAGGCTGAATCACAGAATCCACATAGCTAGTATTGTATTTTTTTGCTCTCCACGTTCTATTGCAGTGAAATTTAATATCGCAGATTTGCATTCAGAGGTCACTCTACATCTTGGGAGTGTCAATTTGGCATGCATTAGGAGTCCACATAGTCAATATAGTATTCATTTCCACTTTCCATCATGATATTTTTTATTTTATTCAGAAGAATAGGACATAAAACAACACTTAATTTCATTAGATTCTTTTTATGTGATTGGATGGTCCCTTTAATGAACAGTGTTCGTGTATTTTCTTGAATTATATATTTCTCTCAGGATTGCACATTTGGTGCTATTATACACAGAACAATAGAACAAAAGCCAGCATTTGATTTCATTCCTTTTGTTTGATTCGATTTTCAATGAAGGCATGTCGTTTTTATCGTGGTTTATTTTGTGAATTGTGATTTAAAAGGTTGGATGAAATCGAGTCAATATTTACTGAGTGAAATTCATTACGATAGTTTAAATAAACCATTTTTATATCACTGTGTTTTTATTTTATCTATTTCTATCTATTATATTAAAGCTACTCCATCAATATATTTGTCCTTTCTGTTTTCATTTTAAAGAGTCTATGTTAGATAGTGATGAGAACATAGTCTCATGAAAGCACTGTGTTATTATTATGTAACAGAGACATGTATGGCTTCTATAGGTAAAATTCTTATTTTCTGTCTGATGTCTGTGATTATAGAATATGATGACACTTACTTGCAAAAGCTGTAATACTATCAAAGTACCTTTCGTTATCTAAAAACACCGAGTTTAAACACTAATTTTTCGTAAATTTGCGCTGAACCACGAAATTGGAATGATGCATATCATTGCTATCAGTGTCCCTAACATACGTAAAAAGATATGGATTGTTAGTATTATTATTTAATGATACAGCACAGTTTTTGTTCCCTTGCAAAAGACGTTCCTACTTAACGATTATCAGTCTTATAATGTTGAATTGAGAATAACTTTGTATGTGTATTGGAGACACTGATAGCATCAATAAGCATATTTTGCAATTAGTGACGTCTGATCGAAAATCGAAATGATGCAAATGGACGCTACCAGTGTCCTGTTCTGACTAGAAATCTGTGTAAACTGCAGTACAGTCAGTTCTGCATATAAACTCATAGCCCTTTCCATGCATTATGAGTCCAGATATTTTGTCCCATTTGTAAAGGCTGGTAAAAAGATTTTGTCCGATTGATCAAAGATAATTGTATAATACTCAACAGTTGGAAAGGTTTGATGGTTTGTTGTTAACAAATTCCCAAGCATGCGTAAATATTTCAATGGTTGAAACTGCGCGATAATTTTGATCTGTTGTAAGAGGCTTATTAAGAAATTCCTACAACTTGTTGAAGAAATATTTTTATTACTTTCCATTGTTCATACGCATGACAAAATTCTCATAAAACAGACATGATTTCTTGAAATATCTTGTAGAAATTTAACAAAATATTCAAATATTTCTCCTAAGATTTGGCATCAAAGAGAGAATATTCACTATGGAATCAAAGACTTGGAATAAAAGACATTTCAATTTAGATTTTAGAGTTGATCGCACTAGAAATCCGGTGAAGGATTTGAAGAATGATTGTATTTGTTTGACTATCGTAAAATTCTGATCATTGATGTAGCGAGGTTGGTTTCTATGTAATGTGTTCTGGGAATCAAAATTTATCGATTTGGAATTTTCTGAAAATTTGATTGCTTGTTTAGTTTACAATCAAATTACACCAACTTCTGACCTTGGCCAGTGCTTTTATGAGACTGTTTTCTCTTCACAACCTAACACTAAGTTACGCAGTAAATTTTGTGTCCATTCTTTGAAACTTACAAAAATTATGGCCTCTATCTCCGCACTTGAGGGAGCCGTGGTGGCTCAGTGAGTTAGATGCTTGCTCGCTAACCTGAGGGTCCAGGGTTTAATCCCGGCATAGGTCGAGATAATACCTTCAGATTTTTCAACCCGGTTTCCCCCTGTTAGTGATGCAGGTAAGAGGGGTTGGCATGGAAAAAGCGTCTAGTCGTTCGGATGGGACAATAAACCAAGGTTGCACACTGCATGGAGTTGCCCGTCTTCATTAGCCCAAATGGTGCAGAAAAGAAGGACGTAAAACTCCATTCATTCATTCATTCTCCACACTTGAATGTGAGTGTATAAAAATGGAGAAACAATTTTGATCTATTCTTATCGTAAAAAGTTTGTACTCCTTCTTCTGGTGTCCATAGAAAATTGTGAATTGGACTTCACAAATTTAACAAAAACTTGTATTAATTCTGCACTCACAGCTCCTAATTACGAATATTTTGATAGCATGCCACAGCTTAATATACTCTATAAGAATTATTAAACATTATATTAACATTAATAACAGTAGTATATTATGATGACTCTAGTAATTTCAGTTGAAACTAAAAATAACATATTATGATAGTTCATAAAAATATTATTTTATAATTGTTCAGTTTGTAGTTTTCATATTCCTTACTGTTGTTGTTTTAGCCATTTTAGAGTTTCAGTCAGGGCAAGCTTATTCTTGGATCTTTGAGAAGTCTGATATTTGAATCCACATCAGAATTTTCATTCACTTAATGTTGAATGATTCAGGACCAGGATCATTTTCATATTTACCTCAGTGATTTTGTCATCTTAAGTGATCCCGGATGGCTTTTAGACCACTTCCATATCTATATCATTGATTTTCTGAGCTAATGGGTCTTGACCTATGGATTGTGATTGAAATAGGTAGATGTCTCTCCTGGTGATTTCAGCATATCTACTTAGGTCATGGAGACACCAGACATTACCTTACTCAACATATTCAACTCAGGCTATTGCAAACAGTAGTCCACTAATGGTTTTTAATGAGGTTTTTAAAGATGGTTTTCCTTATTTTTTAGTGTCAAATTAAGCAAACTATTTGATTAATTGGTGTTTTTAATGAATTATCATTTATTCTTAATCATATCATTATGTTCTTCTTGCATATAATTAAGAGTTTTAAACAAACATAAATGTCCATGTATGTACAGTCTGGATAAACAAAAAAATACTTTTTGACCTTTTCTGATTGGTCACTCATTGGAATTCTGCTGGTAATTCTCTTCTAATTTAACTAATTATGAATGAATTATTGACATGTGAGACAAACTGGTAAGTCATAAGAACACCTCTACTTTCTATTCATATAAGTATTAGTATTTTCATTTTCATAAATTTAAATAAGGGAACCCATCTTTAAATAAATACCAGATTTCTGACACTTACAATACAAGGAGTACCTGTACCTTTGTCAAAAGCTTTCATCAAATCTTTACAAAATATTTCAAACAGTATCTCACCCAGTTTTTGATGGCAGGAGATATGTTTTTATAATACATACAGTTTCTCAATGTAATATTGGATTGATTGACTTTTAGAGAAGACGGCAAAAGTCTACAAGATTCCTGATAGTCTCAGACTATTCTCATCTTAAAATGATAAATGGTTTTTAGTTTCGATGTAAACATGATTTTTAAATGGACTTGTCAGATTTATAAATTGTGTGTTATCACTAAATCAATGCCCTAAGAAATATTCTAGTGAGAACTGGAAGTTCTTATGTTGAGTTTGGCTTCTTTTCAAACCAGCTAGGTTATTTCTAAAAGGACGGGGCTAGGATTTTGAGACTTACAAATACAGGGGAGAGTAGAATGTAAAAAATCTGTAACATTTTATCAGACTATTAATGTACTGAATAATAGAGAGAAATCAATATTTTAACAATAATCTGATCGAATGTAAAACTAAATTTAAAATCAATTTTACTGACTGACCAACATGGACCACTTAATTCATCTAACGATATTTTTTTGGTATTATTAATGTATGTGGTTGCCATCCTTTTGTTTCCTTCTGTTATAAGACCCCTATACAATCTCATCACTATATACAAAGTAATAAAGACAATTCCCTCAGTCTATAGATATATCTATCAGATGATTTTGGTATAAAAGTTACTTTTTGGAATTTTCCAGTGGGCTTCTCGTGTTCTCCTTTCAGTTTTCAAACTCTAGGCTAATTTAAGATGTTGGTCATTTTAAATTTCTCTCAAAACTTAATAATTTTGTTTTCTCTTTTCAGGAAGTGTAGATAGAGAGTAAGCATGCAGATTAAAGCTCCCCCTAATTTCCAACCCCAAGATGTAAGGAAGGGTAAAACACAGATCCCTGGTCCCGTCCGATCACGATATAGAAAGTTCGATATTTATCGTGATGTTCAACAATTCTATCACGTAGATGATCACGCCATTCAGGTTTGTAGATTTCCATATTTAGCGAGGCACGGCATGCTCCAACGTCAAGCTATCTCTCTATGTGGACGTATATATTCGGATTTTTTGATGGAATCAAATGAAATTCGGTATGTGTATACATATTCATAGAATGAAGATCAAGTTTGAATTTGAGCTATTTTCGACTGTTAGAAGCAGAGTTATTGCCCTTGCCCCAAAATCTTGAATATTTACCATCCGCATTCCATGGTGGGCGTATATGGCTGTGGTCCACTATCTTTATATTTAGCGAGGCACAACATGCTCCAATATGGGGATTACCATTTTCACAATGTCAAGCTATTACATACTTCATACTTTTACCTTGACTACCGTAACCAACTTTCTTAAATCATTGAATGCAACGATTTGATTGAATTGTATGCCAGCATACCAGTATACAATCATTCAGAGCCCTGGACAGAAAGGTTCTTAAAATCATGGCTTTGTGTTCACAGACTTTCCGCGAGCAGGCCCGTAGCTATAGGAGGACAAGGGGTGCATTAAGCCCCCCTCCCTCCACCCGAAAGAAGTGGCCAACCTATATCATCACTGCATCAAAACACCAAATTGCCCCTTCACATATATTACTTGCCCACCAGAATAGTCAAGCCTGGCTCTGATTGGCTGTATTTGCTAGCACTCAAGGTGTTTGCTTCCTCACTCCTTGAAGGAATATTGTGTACAGATAAAATCATCTTCACAATGGTCAAGTTATTGCAAAGTTCTCGATAGCTTGACCATTGTGATGATGTGATAAAATGAGTGATATCCAGTTATGTTGGTTTTAATTGAGCCAGTTGTGGGGAACTGCCAGATTGCCTTGTGAAAAACATAAGGAGATTAATGTTGCTTAGTGATTATTAGATTATTAAGAGTTATTTTGGTTTTGATTGATGGTATATTTGAGGCTATGAAAGTTCTGATCAGATCAGATTGTCCTATACAGAATAAGATAACATACTGACATTACTTTTTAGCTTGCAAAAGGTCTAGAAGACACAATTCTTGACATATTTTGGTGAAATGTGGTGAAATTGTTTATTATCACCCAATGATGTACCCTATAGTATTTAAAAAAAAGTCTAAAAGTATTTAATATGAGTTATTGTCCTTGTTCTTTCATTTCATTCCAGACACAATTCTCCACAGATTTTAACGAACCCTATTAAAAAGCAAAAAATTGAATAATATTTGATATGGATTATTGCCCTTGTTTTCAGAAAACGTGTTCAATCTTAAGCTTCTAAACACCTCAGAAGACAAATTATTGACTGATTTAAACGAAACTTAGTGAAATTGTTTATCATCACCTAAAGATAAAAAAAAAAATAAAGCAAAAGGCTGTGAATACAACTCTTGAAGTATGAAAATATTACTCTAGAAATATTTCATTTGCTGATATCTTTTGTCAACCTGTCATACGACATGTCTACCATTACAATGGTGGCTATTACAATAGCCATCACTATTTTTAGATGAATTTAAAGAATATGTTTGAGTTGACATTGAATTCTGTCTTGTGTTTTCAGGTAGCCCAGAATGATCATGAAACGTTTATTGATTTGGTCTGGCATCTTGTTTACAGTCAGAATTACCAATCAGATCTGGAGAAAGCCAGGTAAATATTAACATCCTACTAGACAAGACAATTCAGGAAAACAATATAGTAAAAATAGAAAATATAAATTATGTCTACATAATGTCTTGACACAGACTTCGTGTCTTGGCTTCTATTATTCTCTACTGTATTAATAATCCCACAATGTAGTAGCACCAGACTGTACCTTGACTTTTAGCACCATGAATTAGGGTTTTTATGAATTTGTCTGTAGAACAACAAAGGTTTCTCAATCTGTAATTTCAAATGATAACAGTGTTCGTAATTAGTCAGATTGCTCTTGATAAAGCCCAGCAAGGATGATTCGAAACTTAATAGTCAGGTCTTCAGAAAACAATGGTCGAAGACTAAAAATCAAGATGAACAGTGTAAATTAACCTTATTAGAAGTAGAGAAGTATAATGTATTTATATTTGTATTTCTAGGGCTATATTCAGATGGATGACCAGTAAGAATATGTACACTATTAAATTTAAAGGTAACGCTGCCAGTGGCAGTCCTGAAGAAGTTATCTTGTCTTTTAGAGATAAACAAGGAACTTATGCCAGAATTTTCGAAACAATCTGCAGGTAAGGGATATAATCCACATCTTTGTATCAATCTTGGTTTATCAATGATGCTGGTCCAGAATGCATGGCCCTCTTCTCTCATTAAACCTTAATCAAATGGGATGCCATGACTAGCAATTTCAAGTCAACCATTAATGTGTTACTATATCACACATAATAATAAATATCTGTATAATTGAACAAATTCAAAAATCTCGTCCAAACCATGACAATATTGGGAGCAATGATTGTATAGCAGTGGACTAATCCTCAAAAGAGAAGTACCATCAGGTGTTTCTAAAAGAGTAAGCATGATCTGATATGCACCCGAGAACTACCACTACTATTTAGGGTAATTGACATGAACTAAATATGTTTCAAGTTTTAATAACAAATTCTTATAACAAAAACACAAGATAATATTATAGAATATAACACACTTCTTTAATAAGGTTAGTTTATGAAAGAAGTGTGTTATATTCCATGTTATGTCTTGTGTTTTTGTTATATGTGCTCCTCGCTTCTATATGTCGTTCAAATCTTACAACAAATTCTTGCTTTTCGTTCCAGATTTTCCGGCCTCCATTGTCAAGTATTAACAGGTTTTGCGAAGGGATTAGATTATAGACCAGGTGATAAGTTTAAAGGATCAGAATATAACCACAGTTGGAATGCTATATTAATAGATGGACAGTGGTATCTTATTGATTCTCATTGGGCCACTCGCTATCTCGTCTCCGAGAAAAACAACCCTGAAAACTTGGTAAGTTTATCACATTTGAAAAAGTTCCCAAGGCAACACCAACTTGAGCTAGTACTGTTGAAAATATTGATGAACACATCTGGATTGAGCATTTATTATTCCTCAAAAGTTTCCCCCTGTCAGTGATGCAGGTAAGAGGGGCTGACATGCAAAAAGTGTCGCTCGGATGGGACAATAAACTGAGGCCTTGTGTGCTACAGGCTGTGCACGTTAAAGATCCCTCGACAGTTGGAAATCGAAAAGGAGCAGGCTAATGCTGCTGTCCTGGCAAAATTTCCCTCGTTTCTGTCTTCATTAGTCCATATATTGCAGAAAAGTAGGACATAAAACACCATTTCTTTTAATTTTTTCAAAAGTTTTTCTATTGTTGAAAGGGTCTTTTGGGTGTACTTATAAATTTTCCTACAAATATGCACTATTTTACTACCTAATGGTCATTGAGCAGTAGGACATGGTGGAAGAAAAAATTCCAATCAAGATTTTACTATAATTAATCAAATAGTTTTATACAAAATTTGTAAATGAGAAACATTCATATACTACTACATGTAAAATGAAAATGTGTTGATGGCATTTCCCTTAATGGGACATAACTCTCTTGAAGAAATATGATAAACATCTGTAACATTATTATGGACACACTCCAGCAATTCATAAAGAGATTTGCTTTGATTATCATGGATCAGTTTGTAGTTGATAAAAAAAACGCACAAGTGTGTCTACAGGTTTTCAATATTGCAAGATAGCATTGGCTTAGTGATATACCATATTCAATGTATATGTGATTCAATTATCACATGGGAATCTTCTGTATTGGTAGAGTAGTATTACACAGGTATGTAATAACATGAAATAATTGTTGAAAGTGTTTGTGGTGTGAATCCTGGTAATGATTTATATATATTATATATTGTAGGTGTATGAATATGATGATTTTTATTTCCTGACTGATCCAGAACAACTGATCTACAGTCACTGGGCTCACAAATCAGACTGGCAACTTCTCTCACGACCTATTTCACTTCAAGATTTCGAGAACCTCCCATTGGTCAAGTCCTATTTCTTCAAATGTGGAATGTTTTTTATTTCTCATCACAATGGTGTCGTCCAGACCAAACAGGGACGTGTAGCCTTGACCTTGGGCTTCAGCAAACCCACCAATTTCACGTATAAAATCGTATTTTCCGATACCAATGATGAGATGTATCAAGGCCAGAAACTGAAAAGTTATGCACTTCAACATCAAGGAAAGAACCAAACCACTACTTTCATTTTCCGTGCTCCAAAATCCGGGCAATTCTACTTCACTATCTTCGCTCAGCTTCTCACTGGTGAACTGGGAGTAAAGAATGTCTTCACTGCCTCCGCGGAATACAAAGTCATCGTTGACAAACCAGCCTCTGATGCTGTTGCCCTTCCCAACTGTTCAGACAGTAGCTGGGGAGCAGGAATTGCTGTTGATCAAATTGGATTGGTTGCTAACCCCACTAATGGCGTCTTGACAACATCCAATGGTAAAGTTAACCTGGAATTTAAGAAAACAAGACCAGCATTCATTTTGGCGAAACTTCGTAAGAATGGAATGAGAGAAGAAGATCTTGAGAAACACATCAGTGAACAGGATCTCGGAGACAGAATCATTGTGTCTGCTGAATTGCCCAAAGAAGGAGAATACGGAATTGAAATCTACGGTAACGACCCTGCCAAAGATGGTGACACCTACACTCACGTAGCCCAATATTACGTCCATAGTGCCCCACAAGCTGAACAACTGAAAGCTTTCTACCAAGAATCTCCCGAGAGACGTAATTTATCACCACAGCAACAAGCTGAAATAGAAGGAGGCTACAGACCAGATTCGTCTTCGGTGAGTTGATTTTTAATTATCTTGGTTACTAGGATAGAGGTTTTCATTCTCTCATCTTCACAATGTCAAGCTAGTTTGAGTCTTGTCTTCTACCTGCAATAGTCACATTTCTTGTATCAAGGAATTGTATCATTTGATTGAATTGTACGAATACATATACAGCCAATCAGAGCCCGTCACATAAAGGCAGTGAAAACAAAGCTTTAATGTTTACAGCCTTTCTGTCGAGGGCTCTGATTGGCTATATTTGCTGGCATACAATCCAATACAATACAAATCGCTTCATTCTGTGATAAAAGAATAGTTGCTTCTTGCAGTCAAGGTATAAGTACAAAGTTTGTAATTGGACATTGTGAAGATGATGAAGTAGAGGCTATTATTCTGTAGAGAAAGAGATATCTGTAAATTATAAAATCAGACACTTTATCATAAACAAAATCCTATAATGATAACAATAAACTATTTATTTTATATGGGTTGGAATTGGGTTTGATACACCAAAATGACATGGTTTGATCTTAGTATATGTGAAGACCCTGGCTTTAAATACCAGCCACCCTTTAAATGGAACTAAAAACAAAGGTTTTGTGTTTCACAGTGCATACATTAAAGATCTTAGTTGGTAATGGGTATGCGAATTAACTTGGTGAAATTTTTCAGTGCGTGATGAAAAGTAGACGAGAAAGCAAAATTCCATTTCAAATGTGCACAAGAAGTATCAAGGCATTAAATCTTATCCTTGAAAGACATTCCAAAATACTTTGCGAATGAAATAGAATCTCAGAATTTATTATATAGTATTCTTTTAAGAACAAATTCAAGTATTCCTTTAAAAACAAATTCAAGAAATGTCTATTGCTGATGAATATTGATTAACAATTCAAATTAGATTTAACCAAAAATATTTTAAAGTTGACCATGTTAACGCCTTTAACTCTTGTGGCCACTTAACTGATTAGATTATTGTGTGATGGTGATACACACTAAAGGAACTGGTGGCGCAGCTATTACCAAGTGACGTTGCATTGTGTTTATGTCATCACCTTTGCCCTTTCATTGGCCCACATGGTGCAGAAAAGTAAGACTTAAAACTCCATTTCATTTCATTTAACTGTTTCAACCCTAGTGATACGTACTGGAGCAGCCATTACCAAATGACATCACATTACGATAATATGCTTTAAGTTTTATTAGGGAGCGGCAGTGGCTCAGTGAGTTAAACGCTTGCTCGCTAACCTGTAGGTCAAGGATTCAATCCCAGCATAAGGTTAAGATAATACCTGTGGATTTTTCAACCCGGTTTAACCCCCGTGTCAGTGATGCAGTTAAGAGGGGCTCACATGGAAAAAGTACCAGTTGTTCGGATGGGACAATAAACCGAGGCCTCGTGTGCTACAGACTGTGCACATTAAAGATTCCTCAACAGTCGGAAATCGAAAAAGAGCAGGCTAATGCCGCTGTCCTGGCAAAATTTCTCTCATTGTACCCTGCATGGCGTTACCTGTCTTCATTAGCCTACATAGTGCAGAAAAATAGAACATAAAACTCTATTCATTTTATTTAAGTGATTTTACTGGTTGCTCAGGGTATATGACATTTATTTCATTTACACTCAGTGCTAAAAGGGTTAAATCATGTTACTTGGAATTCAGGTTGATTATGTTTTTCATCCACACTCAGTGCTCAAAGGGTTAATTGATAGGTTTGTCTGAACTAGATAAAACAATTGTATCACAGGTCAAAGTGACATAATAAATTATACTCTAATTGTGACCTCATGATATATTTTTATGTCCTCAATTTAAAATTTTAAGTACTACGACAAATTATCATGGTATATTGTTTTATTTCTAGTTGACATGTTGCTGAATTAATTTTTAGTCTGACTCATTTTAACTTTTATTTTGAGTGTGAAACCTTTGTTCGATTTTGTTTTGAAACTTTGGGATGTTTAGAGGTTCTGTTTGATTCAATTTGGAATAGACATTGGGATATGAAAGGTGCTTTTAGTGACAAGTGATGAGTTTTTACAGAGCTTTTTGCAGCAAGTAGAAAAAACTTTAGGATATTTACAGAGCCTTTCACAGTGAGACATAAAGATCTTTGGGATATTAAAGATTCTGTTGAATACATTTTCAACTCCAATATGAATCAGGTGAATTTTTTTCTTGTTTGGAGTCATTTGCTTATTCTTTTCTTACTTGCTAACCTAAGGTTAGGTTTTGATCTGTTTAACACCTTTAGATTTTCAACCCAGTTTCTGTAATTGATGCTGGTCTGATGGGTCTTTTGCATATGACAATAAATTAAGTCTGGGAATCAGTACGGTTCAACCATATCGTCGATGAGCTTGCAATTCCATGAATAAGGCTAAATTGGGATTTTACAGGGGAGACAAAAAACTGATTCATTTCGCTGTTTGGCCGAAATACTTTAAAAACTGAAAGGGTATGGAAAGGAAAAATTGTTTAATTGCTTTATTTGCTGCAATGTTAGCCATTCGCGGTTTCGTTTTCTGCAAATTATGTAAAATCTTCGCTAACACGATTTGGTTTTATAGAGAACGATATATCAAAGTGTGCCATGCCCCATAACAGAAGATTTTAATTTATTTAAAAATCGAACTTGATCTGCAATATCCTTTTTGTCCAATGTCTTTGAATAATATAGTTCTATGCCCTTTAAAATCGCATAGTATTTCATCTTAGATATCCTTTCATGTATGTACTGAAATTCAAAATGTGTCATTTCTTTGAATGATAAAGTTCAATGCTCTAAAAGAGGAAAATTAAAAGTATTTGAAAAACCTGCAATATCCTTTTGCTTTGCCCTATAAGAGAAAATTCAAAATGTGCCACAGCTTTGAATGATATAGTCTAGTACCCAATTGGAGAAAACCATAAATCATTTGAAACTTGAGCTTGATCTCATCATAAAGCAATTGAAAGTCAAAAACTGAGTTTCAGAATTTGTCATGACTTTGATTAATACAGAAGAGAAATAGTATTTGATATTCAAGATGTAGATATATATATATATATATATATAATTTCAGTGTATATTTTAAGTTGTTATTTCCTGCATTGTATTAGATCATGATCAACCCTATAACATTATATACAGTAGCTCCATTAACATTGTTATCAACATCAGCAAGTTGGTTATATGGTTAGGATTAAACTTGGGTTGGAATTTATATTTATTCCAAGAGGGTTTATAATTTGTGGAATTCTGGAGGAAATATTGTTTTTAATGTCCTGTTGAAATAATATTGTTATCAACATTGTGATAGTTGTGATTATAGTTAGGAGTAAACCTGGGCTGGAATTATTTAAATTCCTTTATTAAAGAAGATTTTTAATTTCATGTATTTCTAAAGGAAATATTGAGATTTTGTAAAGTATTTTCTTGAATTTTTGTTCATTTTAAGATGGTAAATATTGTTGCTTTGTACAGTTTTTTATTGAATTTATGATTATTCTAAGAGAATATTTGATTGTGTGTCTTGTTTGAAAGTAGATATTGTTACTTTGTCAGAAATAGTAGGCCAACAATTTATCATCCAGAAATAGTAGGCCAACAATTTATCATCCAGAAATAGTAGGCCAACAATTTATCATCCAGAAATTGATACATATGAAACGTTCATTAGCTGCTACCAATGTTTCAACAATATGTTATTTTGGATTTCGGATTTTGCGGTTTGGATCGTTAGTACTTGGTTTATTTATGGTGAGGATTAAAGTTTTTTTGTGAATTTGTATTTAGTTTTGGATGATTTTTGATTGTGTGGATTTCTAGAGGAAATATTAAGTTAGGTAGTAGGTATGTACCCAGTGATGAGTAGGGCCAAAGGACTTGGTTGAACCAGTCACTAAGGTAGTTGAGCCATTGGGTATATTATACTGTCAACTGATGATCTTGTTGAAATAATTCTGTAGCCACACTTGAATGTTCGAAGGGGCAAGTAGTTTATTTTGAGGGGCAGTGAGTGAGGTATGGTGTCAAGTTGCAGTAATGAAACCCCCGTGCCCCCTTCTAACTACACTGTTTTAGGCTGATATAGGTTTTTGTCAGGTGTAAAATGAGTGAATTATCCAGGGGAAAATAAGGAAACAATAGATGTAGATATCTATTTAAATAGGATTGTGAAATTTGAAACAAAAATGTACATTTGACACCAGGTTGATTATGTTTTCAAAGGTCCAAAGAAATCATTGACCCATTGGACCATGTATATCATCACTCCAAGGACAGTTTCCAGCTGTGTAAAAATTTTAAGGAATCACTGGACCATTCAAAACTTCGCTCTACCCAACAAGTTTTGTGCATGTACTTATAGAAAGTGTAAATGACCTAATTGTAGACTTATATTGAAAGAGTAAAATAGCCTGGAGACACCGAAGATTATAAACTACAGGTTTTTTTAACAAATTAATTAATTAAAATCGTATCAAAAATTATTGAAGAAGAGCTAGAGTGTAGTATAGTCTTTATAGTGTTTTTCCAGAAAACTCTTTCGTTTGTAGTGTTTTTTCTTCAGTCTGCAGAGTTTCTGTTTTCAGTGTTTGTGTTATGTAGTGTTTTGTGTCTTTTTTTTTTTACCTACAGTGTGTCTTTGATCTACATAATGCTTTGAGTTTTGTGCTAGTTATAGGTGTTATAGAAGATACTCTCCTATAGAAGCACTGGCCTAGGTGCTAGTGTTTTTCTTACTTACATAGTGTTTTTCTGGCTGGTCTACATAGTGTAATAGTGTTTTGCTTGCATATCTTGTGTTTTTTTGACTTACATAGTGTTATAGTGTTTTTCTTGCATATTTAGTGTTTTCCCAGCCTACATAGTGTTTTTTGGGGGTGAGTTAACAAGAGCGAATTTATTGAAACAATTTAAAGTTGTATCATAATAAAAGTGAATATGGCCAGACATATATCTACCTATAATATAAAGGTTGGTTCATTTTAATATTTTTCACAATTTTCTAAAATTCATTTTATTTAAAAAATTTTGTTATTAGGGTTATTTATTTTATTAAATTGTTTTGTTGATATATTGACAATTGACTCTTCTATTTTCAAGAGGGAAGGGGGGAACACCAGGAGGGGATAGAGACTGATGTAAAAACTGTAGTGTTTTGATAAGACACTGTAATAAATATATTAATATATCCATCTATCCAGCTTCTCTATGACTTATTGGTGGTATAACTCTTTCATACTAGTCTTCTTCTTTATGTGGGAGGGTGATATAAAACTGTAGAGTTTTTAAAAGACACTGTAAGAAGTATGATGATAAAAACACCTGAGTAAAAATCTCCCCAGCTTCTCCGCATCTTAATATCCAGATAATCTATATAAATATGATACCTTGACAAATTATTCAGTTTTCAGTAAACATAACCGTTTACTTGCAGGTGTGACATCTACTTAATGTGACACTTTCAGCAATCATATATTCATTTTTTTATTTAAGCAACACAACCCAACCTGAAAAAACTTGAACCATAATTTTCAGAAATGAAACTAACATTGTAGACATTTTTAACAAATATAATCTTGATCATACAAAGTAATATGAAACTGCAAAATTGCAAAATGTATTTCATTTGGTTTCACTATCAGTTATTGAAGGGTACATCCAATTCAGCATTTAAAGGGATAACTAAATCTAACAGGTCGGTTGTCAGAACACCTTGCTCCCCTGTAGCTCTGGACCTCAAATCCAATACAAAATTTCCATGCAAATATCCAACAGGAAAAATATACATTAGGAAATCCATCAGAAAAGAGAAATCCAGATTAACTTCTAGTAGATCTAAATCTAATATCAATAAAACACAGCTTTGCATTTAAATTTATTTGAACTAAAATAGGGATATCTGACAGGGAAATTAAATATCAGGGAAATTCAGCTGAGACAATATGATACAATATTATATTAATATATTGTATAGTGATATTATAATGTAACATAATAATCTATTGAGTATTAAAAGAATACTACCTCTTATGGTGGGGGCACACGAAGGTTTTTTTTTTTTCCCAATCGCAGCAGAATACATAATCTCACAAAAAACTTACAGATTATTTAGTTTCCGGCGTATTTTATCTGGCAATCTCTACTCTTAACCAATGGGATGTGGTGTTGATATTATGTGAAGGGATATGTGCTTTAAAAAGTTCTCTAGGTGTGCTCCCACTTCATCGGGTGAAAAAACACGCTCGTCTGCCGCTAGCATTAGAATGAACATAAATTCAAATTCACAAACTTGATCAATAACAGTATATATTCATCAGTAGAGTTAGAATTTGATGTTTATTCTAAAAGGAAGTAGTCCTTTAAGACTGTATTTACATTACAATAAGATAAGAGACAGATCAAGCTGTTGGACCCCCTGATCAATATTCAGCAGGTTTTTTACACTTTAAATACCTCATGTTTCTCTTACATGACTCACTGCTCGATATTATCAAATATTTTTCATATGACTGATACAATATACTTGAAACTTATAACTGAACTGAAACTTGTTACAGGCTTTGTCTGAAACTTAGGATCTATTGTACGCCTACTCCGATTTAGAATTCTGGACTTGGTTCAAATTAAAACTTGTGTCAGGTTTTGTGTAGTACAAACGATCCATTGAAACTTGTCACCTATTCTCTATATATAGAGTTAGCGATCTATATTTTGTGTAGAATTCTGGACTTGGATCAAATTATAACTTGTGACAAGTTTTGTGAAAAATTCAGGATCTATATCTTGCAATAAACATGTACTTGAATCTAAATTGAAACCTGTGAATTTGGATCTGTTTGTATATTTGGATTTAGTGACAAATGAATTCTGTTATACAATGTTATTACTTATGTTTCATTAAGCAGACTGATTGATTCAGATATTTGTATATAAAATAAGTTATAGACCTGTGAATGGTTATCTATTAATTTACAGTGTATTATATTCTCACCTCAGCATTTACTATAGTAAATAAACTTCATAAAACATGTGATAACTGTAACAAAGAATAAGATGGTATATATGTGAACGGAGAATTATTCAAAAATATACAGAATAAACTTTCTGTCAGGCGCCTGAAAGTATTGGCAACATTTATCAGCAGTTCTCTGAAAAATTTTCGATTTTTTGTCTTTGCAAGTGTGATAACCTTTGAGTGATATTTTAGATATGTCTGGAGAAGTAGAGGTTTGTATTTGTCATATCATATACATTCTTGTTATTCAGATGAGACAAATAATAAAGGCCCTGAGTGCTACAGGCTGTACACATAATTACCATGAAAGTTAAAAATCTGAAAACATAGGCTCACGTTATTCCAATGGAACAATGAACCAAGGCCCTATGGGTAACAGGCTGTACACATTATAGTTCCCATGAAAGTTCGAAATCTTAAAAGAGTTGGCTCATGCCGTTGTCTTGGCAAATTTCCATCATTGCACACTGTAGGGTAATGCCTTTCTTCATATGGAACAGAAAAGTGAGACGTAAAACACCATTTCATTTCATAATATATGTCATGTAATCAATAATATACCATAGTAAATATTTCATCAATGTTATAATTAATGACAAATATTCTAAACATGAGAAAGTCAGCGGTCAACATGACATTTGAAAATATGAAGAATATGCTACATAGTGAAAGGTGTTTAAGGAGACAAAATTTTTACACCTAGACAGAATACACAACTGGTAGTATCAATAAGGTCACTTTATGTTTAAAAAAAAGTCAGAGATGACATTAGTGCAAATTAACAAGGTATGATGTCTGGTGGAGTATACAGTTGGGGATTATCAATACTGTAAACAATACAGTGTACATCTGAACATTCAACATCTGAGTATTCCAACATTCTGCGTAATCCGACATCATTGTCTGGTCCTAATTGATTTCCTTCTTTGGCTAGTTAAAAAAAATTCTGCGTACTCCAACACTCTACGTATTCCGAATTATGACACTAATCACCGCCAGTTACCTCCCTTCAAGAACAAGGTCAATCCTTGTAGATCAAATGGCATGGGTACTCGTATCATGAAACAGCAAATCATTGAAGATTATGAAAAAGTGCCATGCACTTTGCAGAAATATTTATCTATGAAATTTGGTTAACGTCGTGTAGGATCAAATCGTGCCCAGACCCAAACTAGTTTATTTGCTCCATTTTCTATTTTTTCCATTTTACTGCATCGGACACCATACCTTTTCTGTTTGTACCTTAACACATCAACATCACTTCATGCTATTCTTCATCTGTGTTTGTCTGCTGTTCACACTTTCAGGGAGTCCACATAGCTAATAATGTTTATCTGGTATATTAATGTCAACATGTCAATATTAATCAAATGTTATATTAATCAATGCTATATTTGGCTGTTCTCTTTGTTTTATGTAATGAATTTATGAAAGTATTCATAATAATATTACATATTGTTGAGGTGAATGTTTGTGAAAAATACCTGTAATAAGGCCCCTGCTGGCTGGTTTCTATTAGTAATATTATCCCCTGTAAAAGCACAATTTTTAGGGAAATTCTTTAAATTTTATTAAAAATCTACAGTGTAATCAGTTTTATATCAGGATACATATATTATCCATACCACAATTTTGGTATTTTGATTGAGACCAATCTTTGTAATATTTAACAGTTTTGTTGATGATTCCCATAGGTAACTGTATGAAAATCTTCAATGAATTCAGTTTATGTACTATCAACCATACTTGTTAAAAAGAAGGTTCTCTTTTCTTTTGGACCCCCAGGTCATATTTATGATATTAAGTGAAATATTTAAGTTGCTAGTGTTATGGTATAGATTGGGTCCTGGTAAAGAATGATATGTCATCTAGTGTCAGCAAACTATTCAATACTGTCAATTATTTATAATAGTTGATATGGAAACCTCAAATTGAGGAAATATTTACAATTCATTTTCCTTCAAAATTTACATTACCATATATTAACTAAATACAATAACAGGTGACAGAAAACTTCTCCAGGAATCTGTTCTACACTTCTACTGGTGTGCTACATGCTGTACTGATCTCTAGACAGTTGGAAGTAAACAAAAGAGTAGGTTTATGTCCCTCATTGAAAACTGCATGGCATTTTCCCTCCTCATTAACCTAATCAGGTACAGAATAGCAGGAAAAATATGTCATTTAAGGACATCAAGTATTAATGTATAGTATTTATAGTGTAGGGTTTAATTTAATCAGGTACAGAATAGCAGGACGTAAAATTCCTTTCTCTTCTTTTGACAATTATAATTTGAAGTAAAATATGTCACTTAAGACATCAAGAATCAAGCTTTGTTATGTATAGTATTTGTAATTGAGAGAAGGAATTAATTTAGAATTCCTTTCTATGTGTCATAACCTTCGTGTTTAATCCAGACTGGGATAGAAAAGATCAAAGTTAATCCTTACTGTTATTAGTATCACCATTTTAGAAGACTAACATCATGACTGTCATAAAATAATTTAAATATTATTACTGTTGAAATTTTGTGTATATTATATGAAATTTTGAATTCTGAACCATGTAAAATAAAAGAGTCTATGCAAACTCAAGCTCAAACTCAAACTCTTGCTCAAACTCAAACTCTTGCTCAAACTCAAAACTCTTGCTCAAACTCAAACTCTTGCTCAAACTCAAAACTCTTGCTCAAACTCAAACTCAAACTCAAACTCAAACTCAAGCTCAAGCTCAAGCTCAAACTCAAACTCTTGCTCAAACTCAAAACTCTTGCTCAAACTCAAACTCAAACTCAAGCTCAAACTCAAACTCAAACTCAAACTCAAGCTCAAACTCAAACTCTTGCTCAAACTCAAACTCTTGCTCAAACTCAAACTCAAGCTCCAACTCAAAACATGTGTCCATATACGATGATTCCGCAAAACCATAAATAAATGAAGTGAGGAAAGATCGTCACAGTAATCCTCACAGTTTAGATGTAAAGGGGATTACCCCATTTTCACACCTCGACAACTGTCAACAAAAATTGCTCACTGAGTCATCTGTTACTTCTAATTTATTCAGCCTCATTGGGTTCATCGAATCAACGTTGTTTTCAAATTGATTCATCAACTAATATTCCACTGTTTGTATATTTCAGCTATCCAATGCCACCCAGAATATGAACCTTGGTAACTATGGTAATGCTAATGCCAATGATGATGATCTACCACCGCCACCACCAGAGTTACTCCAACAACAATATCTCTATGGTAGCGTACCAGACGGAACCAGTCAGGCCGTGATTAAAAACCTGGCTTATAACCAAGGTCAAGGACAACCCACGACCTATGCCCCTGGTACGGGAGAAGCTGTGAATGAACAACTACAGAAAGCCAACGTTTCTAACATTCCAGCCTCATCAGCTCCTTATAAGGTAAATGTCTAAAATTATCTCCCTTTAATTACCATACTGTTCCTTCTTATTGCCAATGTGATTCACGCCACAAATTCAACTGACATCCTCAATACATAATTCAACCTGTAAAGTTTTTTAAGGGTTCAACTAAATTCATATTAAGTCAGTATTGCAGAAGTTGCAGTGGTCTGGTCTAAAATCAATTTTAAATTAAGTTTCATTATCCAATCAGATTACTGTATTTCTTAAAATCTGGATTTTATCTTAGTTAAGATTTGAGAATAATGCCGCAGATCATTTCATTGAGAGTCTGACCACATCTTAGCTTTCTGGTTCTTTTAATGTCATTAAAATAGCAACCGATCTTTCAATTTGCTCCCCATCCGTATTGAACCCTTAACTTTCTTATCATATAAACAGTGTCATCTTGATAAACATTCCCTTATCAGGGTTTGATATTTTTTTTATGTATAATTGTTGAATAAATGATGGGAGTACAACAGCTTTGTGGCTAGATGATTCCCAAACACTGTACCCTGGCTAGGTGCATTGTCCTTATGAAGCCTCAACATACTTGTTTTTTTCCATTCATCCCTGGGAGTACAACAGCTTTGTGGCTAGATGATTCCCTAACACTGTACCCTGGCTAGGTGCATTGTCTTTATGAAGCCTCAACATACTTGTTTTTTTCCCTTCATCCCTGGGGATACACTGACCCTGTAGCTAGACACTTGTTCAACCACTCTAGTCATGTAACTACTCAACTGATGATGCTCTGTAGCTAGGCACTTGCCTGTCACTCAAAAAAGGAAGACCTCCCATTTAATTTGTGTTTTTGCATCTTAATTTCCTTATAGATATTTTCATGTTCATGATTCCCTTTCCTAATTATGTTGAATTGTTATTTATATCATTATTATTTTAGGTATCGAAATCAGACCACAATAGTTTCCGTGATTTAGTTTGGGATTTGATTTATTCTAAAAATATTACAAATGAAATAGAAAAAGTCAGGTAAGAGACAAAATTTAGATATTTTTTATGTAAAATTTGTCCAGATTTTTGAATTAAAAAAGAGAGCTCTGTATATTTATCAAGAAGATTTCAGTCAAATTGGGCTGAATTATATTATGTTTTGAAAACTTGATCAATTTGAGCCAATGATATGCTGAAATGATGCAAAAAAAAACTATGACAGAGTTACATAGTAACATGATAAATGAAATAGTTTATTTGTCATTTGCATGCTGTTCTCTCTAAAAATCATATCAAAATACACATTTAATATAAATTATGGTTGGCCAAGCTTTATTATTCTATGTTTCCTTTTTCCAGAGTTATTTTCCGATGGTTAGCAACTAAAAATCTAAAAGAAATGAATTTTGATAATGTTCAGCCAGGAAGTCCTGAGGAAGTTTTGATGGGTTTGAAAACTGGAAAAACAACATATGCCATGGTGTTTGATACTATGTGCAAGTAAGTATACAGACATCATTGTGTTTATCCAAAGTTGTAGGGGTGGTGTACTATTCCCAAATCAAAGAGATATAAAAAGAATTTGGGTATAGTAAAGTAATTTTCATGTAAGATGAATTACAGTTATTATGCAGTTACCTATAACCCTAAAAATCATTCCGAACTTGATTAAATAGGCCACATTTGTTTTACTTAGCCTGAATAATCAGAGAAAAAGATTATCTTTTGAAAAGTTGAAATAATAGTTCTTTAATATTGTTAAGAAAAAAAGATACAACCATTTTTACAAGGATAACAACCTAGGTTCACTTAGTATCCTTTTTACCAAACCACTCTGAATTGATCTTGTTAAAATTATTGTAAATGTATGTTTATTCTGATCATTTCAGTTACGCTGGCCTCCATTCCAAGATTATCACTGGATATGCCAAGGGTGCTGATTATAAACCAGGAATGAAATTTAAACCTGGAACCAACCAACACTCCTGGAACGCTGTCTATATCTATGGTACTTGGTGCTTGATTGACGCACATTGGGCTGCTCGTAGAATAATTGGAAAACAAGCTCAGACCCAATCATCCGAGGAATTCCATTATCAACTCGACGAATACTTCTTCTTGCCCGACCCCCATCAGCTGATCTACACCCATTTCCCAGACGAAGCAAAATGGCAACTCATCGAACAACCAAAAACCTTAGAAGAATTTGAAAACCTTCCACACATGAAACCACAATTTTTCAAATATCATTTAGAATTCGTCACGCATAAAACCTCCGTGATATACAGTCGTGGAGAAATCAATATCAGACTGCGTTACTTTGACCTCAAGTCTGCTGTCACATTCAATTTCACCATCTGCTTCGAAAACGGAGAGGAGGAGTACCGAGGCGTTAAATTGAACAGATATGGAATGCAGGAAAGCGTTGGAAACATCTCATCATTCCGTTTACGTCTACCAATCAAAGGATCCTATATCTTATACATCTACGCTAAAGAAGATACCCCTGAAAACAAAGATAATGTCTACGCCCAGGTCTGCGAATATAAGATCGTCCAAGAAGAGGCTTTGAATCCTGCCCCAGAAGCTTTCCCACCATGTTCCTATTTGAATTGGGGACCTGGACCAAGTTTCAATAGATACGGCCTCACAACCTACCAGCAGACGGCGTGTATTCATACGCGAGAAGGAAAAGCAGAAGTACAAATTAAAATCCCCCAAAACATGCAGTTTATGGGCAAGATGAAGAACAACCATTACAATGATGGAGATCTTGAGGGTTACGTGGTCCACAGAGTTGTTGGAAATACAGCTTTCTTTAATGTCACTGCCCCAGGACGAGGTGAATATGGTTTGGAGATCTACGCCAATGATCCTGTTAAAGAAGGGTCAACCCTCTACCATGTAGCTCAGTACCTGATCATCTGTAACGAAGATGTCAAAGCCACACCCCTTCCTAAACTTCCACCTGGATACCTCGGGCCTCAACACAAATTTGCTGAATTTGGCATGGCAACATCCAGTCACCATGACCCTATAATTCACTTGGATACCAACACCGTCACGATCCAGATTCGATCAGAGACTTTGTTACGAGTAACTGGAAACCTACTGGCTGTCCAAGAAGACACCTCTGAAGTTGAACATCCCGAATATATTTTTGCCCATACCTTGGGTTCCATGATCACCTTCATCATCAATCTTCCCCACACTGGATTCTATAAGCTCCAGCTGTACGCCTGCCCTGTTAGCGATAGCAGTCAACAACTTCCTGGTGTATACAACTATCTTATCAACTGTCGCCAGGTAACCCAAGCCGTATTCCCCTTCCCTAAACAGTACGCCCAATGGAAGGAAGGTTGCTTCATGTATGAACCAGGAGTGATCGCCACTACAACTGGACCAAACGGCCAACAGATTTCCAAAGATCGATTACCCCCAGAGGTTAACTTCCGTTTGATGATTCCTAAAGCTGAAGCTGTTGCCGTAGTAGCAGGAGAAGATTGGACCCAGTTAGATCGTCTCCAAGGAAACGAATGGGGCGGAATTTTGAAGGTTGATAAATATTATGGAACAAATACTAAAATTACCGTCAACGCTAACTATGGAGCTGACAAAACAAGTTACGCAACTTTGTTGGAATATTGCGTTTAGAAAATTGTTTTCTTGTTTGTTTGTTTGTTTAATTTGTAAATGTAGTATTTTTAACCAATCGTAGTGAAGGAAGAGATAAGAGAAAAGTATAAAGATGGCCGAAAGTTGTAGTCGTTATTTTAATGATAGAGAATGAGGCTTGATAATTTTTCTAAAACTGTTAACTGTTTTCAAATTTCTGCATTTAGATTTGTCCGCCAATATTTTCAGTATGAAAACATTTTTGATAGAAAAACGAAGTTTCATGCATAGATATTACCAATTTAAGAGTCCCCTCAATAAAACAGATGGAATCATATTGTAAGCTGAAGCTAGTTCTACTTTCATTTTATATTTACTGCCAATTAGATAGCTTATTGAATGTGGAATTTGCAAAATATTTTGATATTGAGCCTCTGGTATATATTAACTACTGGCTTGCTTAATAGCTTTTCTCAATATTTAAGGATATCATACTTACTTCAATCATGAATATTCAAAGTATATATATCCAGCCAATGAATATGATATTTAAAGATCTGAATAAATTTACATCTCATTATCTCAAGACATGGGTTTTCTTCCCATGTTTTGATTTGAAATTTGAGCTTTTTATTTTTTATGCTTTGTCCAAATAACAAATGATTAGTCTTTCAAATTTTACTCACATGAATATTTGACCTGAAGATTTTATAGAAATATGATTTTAGACTTGTTCCATCAGGCATTAGAAGATGGTCGTCCGACAATGATAAGTAATGGCATTGGAATGTGCTTGTTAAAATCTATGGTCTAACAAATGTCTTTTCCTTGTAATTTATGTTGATTTAGCAATTTGAAGGAGTTGCTCTGCTACCTTAAAATCCAAACAATGGTCAATTACTGCAGGATCTGTTTGCGATACCACACAATTTTTCATGTCATATCGATAAATTGGCTGCAAGATAAAAAAAAAATGGTTGTCAAACTTCAGTATGAAAGTCTATTCGTTAAGCTTATGGCTGGATATGAAAGTCGAGCGAGGTCAAAGTTCAAAGGTCAGAGGTCAGGTCGTAGAGTAATTGTTAAGTGTAGATTATTAGATTTATATTTTAATACTTTTTATTATAAAAAAAACTTTCAAATTTTTTGCTCTTTTTTGTATTTTTTCAAAACCAAACAGAAATGTTTCGTTGCTAAGAGTTTGTTAAATTTGTTGGTTACTAGATTATGATTGTTATAAAGCCTACTTTTTAAAATTTTGTGATGTAAAAAAAAGAGCGAAAGATTTGAAAGTTGACCATTTTTGTGAATGGTGCGTAGATTAGAGATGATTCTAAGATGTATTTGGTATTCTTTTATTATTATTATTATTATAATATAACTTGAAACTTTTTTTTTGCAATAAACTGCTTCTATAATATCATACAGTGTTCACTTTATTTGACATATATTTGGCACAAGTGGTAGAGATTTATCTATATTGCAGTGAACAATGGACCATTCTCAGGTTTGTGTCTAGGATTTCCATAGATTAAATTACAATACTAAACTATTTACAGGATTGAAAGCTTGGGTTAGATAAGTTCTTTCTCACATTTCATATTGGGGAACATGGGTGATTGAGCAAATCAGATGCATGCTCACTAATGTGGGATCCATGGATTTCAACCCTGTTTCCATCTGTCAGTGATAGGCCTACAGGTTAGAGGGACTGACATGGAAGAATGGTCTTGTTTGAATATTTCCAAACAGTGTCTGGAGTTTCTCTAGACAGAAGTACAATGAAAACTGAATTATCCTCAAGATTGTGACCCTGGGTTAGATAAGTTCTTTCTCACATTTTGATGGCGAGCTGAGGTGATTGAACAAGTCAGACACTTGCTCACTAATGTGGGATCCATGGATTTGACCCCAGCATATGTCAAGATTTTTCAACCCTGTTCAACCTACAGGTCGGAGGGACTAACATGGAATAATGGTCCTGTTTGGATAAGAAATAAACCATGACTATGTGCACTATAGGCTGTACAAAATACCTTGACAGCTTTAATCAATATAAGAGGCTCACTGTCACAAAAAAAAATTCCCTCGTCGCACACTGCATGCACCTCTTCATTTAATCAACAAGGGTAGAAAAGTAGCATAACATATCTTCAATTATTATATTATTTAACAGATGAAAGTGAACCAACCTCTATCTATTTGGAAATAACCCTCACATATTTGTAACTTTTCACCCAAAACCTTCAACTTCAAGAAAGCAGAAGCACTGTCTGAGATTCTTAATTTTGATTCACATTTCTTAAAGATTCATTGGACTTTGAAAATGGGGTCAGCACAAGAAAAATAGATGTACCCCACTTAGAGTAAGACTTTCTATATATGTAGCAGATGTCAAAGTTAAAAATCAAGATTATTAGATTAATACACATTAAATGAAGAAACTGGAACTGTCAGTAAGGAGTTAAAGTAAGATTTTAATATCTATGATAGAAAACTTTTATAAAGTTTTAGTAAGCAACAAATGAGTCTGTAGTATAGTTATGACACCAGGTAAGTCTACTGTTGAACAAATTTGTTGTCATCTTAGGAGGTGATTAAGGAAATATGCTGTATACATATAAGTTGAATGGTGAATCACCATCTTTGTATGGGTGTTAGGGTGTATTGAGACGAGTCTCAATGAAAGCACTGGCCTGGGTCACAGAGCAATAGATAAGTCTATTAATTATGTGAAAATATTAGTTAGTCATTAGTATGATTTTAGTTAAAAAGACACACACACAAACATACACTGCATGTTATATAATATACTATATATAGCCATGGCACCAGTCCTGAAATAAGTACTCCCTGAAATCTAACTTAGAAATCGATTAATATATTGATATAACATGATACATTTATATGAAGAGATGTATGGGAATGAGAATGGTATTTTTTTTTCTTTCATACAAGTTTAGATAATTCCACATACATCACAAACATCCAAAATAATTTACAGATTTCCCAGTTTTATTAGGAAATTGGGACTTTCGTTCCTCTCTCATAGTAACAGTATTTGCCTAGATGGCTGTTTAGGCCCAAAGTATTTTTTTCTTGGAACTTAGAAAATAGTTTTGGAGAATCTTACAAAATCCTGGCAATTTTGCATGGAATTAAAAGTTTTATAGATGATTTTGACATTATATATAGGCCTACTTGAAGTCTAATTGAAATAAAAGAATTAATTACAACTTTTATCTTGATGAATATGATGGAATATTCTCACAAATGCTTTATAATATCAAAATATTTTGCTATTTATTGAAATCCATCTATTAAAATTGAAAATTGTCGACTTTTAACTCACAAATTGTGAAAAAACTTCTGATTTTAATGGCCAAGTCCAAACATATAAAATTAAATTTTATCTCAATTTTACCATATTTTTTCAAATTTTCTGTAGAAATATGTCTTAAAATGAACGTTTGGGTTGTTTAGACAAATATAATCTGGAATTTTGCTTTAAGAAGGCTTTAATTCTCAAAAAAGGTGAAAATTTGGTCAATCATTGTGGCCGGTTGTGTTATAAGTTATGTCGCCCATTTCCGTGACCTCAATAAACCAATCAGAGTAGAGGCAACTTTCCCGCCGTAATTATCCGACTATCAGCCCATACTGAATGCTCTCCGATTGTAAGTGGAATTTTCCCTTTTTTACGCGAATCTGGACCATAATTTTTACAATTTTTTACTTTTTTATGTGCCCTAGAACATACGGAATGCAAGATATTCTGAATAAATGCTGTACCATCGTTTTTTGAAGATTTTGCTTTGTTTTCCCTGAGTTTTTACTCTTGCCGCGTGGAGGCGTCGCAAATCCAAGATGGCTTCCCAAGATTAATTTTTTCCCTTTATTGAACAATTTGGGGACATTTTTATCATCTGATTTTTGATGATTCATCTTAAATAGGCCACATTTCTTTCTTGACTGTTTTCCCTCTTTAAAATGTATTTTTGAAAGATGTGTATGATGTAGCAGCAATATAAAATGGAATATTTTGGTCAATTTGTGAAACTTGAAATGAAAAATGAATAGGTTGGCTTCTTTTCTATCAGGTCCATGTAACTGACAATAGGCCAACATTTTGTTGAACTAAAGTTTATAAAGCACTGATCTATGATTTACATCTTTTTCTGTCATTGAAAAAGAATACACTTGAAGCCCTGGTCTTGTCTCTATTTGGATTTTCAATTTTTTAAAGGATTTGGGACAGTGGGGTTTTAAACTTAAAGAGAAGGTAGCCATAGACAATGTCAATACTGGGCATAGCTTTGAATTAGTTTAAAAGTAGCAAATCTTGAGCAACTATAAGACTCTAGATTGCTCTGGAATTAAAGGTAGGCATTAACATAAAATAACATATGTGTCAAACAGATGCGATTAGGAAGAGACCGAGAATCGTGCAATTTTTGCTATGTCTAATGATGTGCTTTATTTGCTTGAGTAAATATTTTAGCCATGCTTGCATGCTTCTTTTCATGCGGTATATTTGTAATTCACGGTAAAAGTAGGGTGTACCTATCCTTTTGAATAAAAGAAGCCTACTTATATATTTGAGCAAAAATAATGAAATACATTGTTGATTCAGTTTTAATCTATAAAAAAAGTCGTAATGGACAGAAGTTTGCTTTTTTGGGGCGTTTATTTTTATTCTTCGTATCTAATTCAATTCTTATTTTGTTGTTGAAAGTCCATGGTTGAGAGTAACAAATCATTATCTGACTATAGAGTCCTGCAAAGTGAACATATTTTATTTTTCTGAAGTTTGTAGCTGGTGTTGATTTGTGTAACTATTAGATTCAGTTGATTTTAAATAAGGTGCAAATAAGCAGCGAACATGAACTGCTTATCTTTCTTAATTTGTTTCAAGGCATTATACAATCCATAGAAATGTAATTTCAGAGTAAAAATGGAGAATAATTCAGCAGGAAATTTAACAAATGGAGATGGGTCTGCATTGGGTAGCGGTGACGGGCCGGCAGCCAGTCTGCCCTCTAGTGGAGTACATCATCATTTACCTCAGATACCCACTATGGATAAGGGAATAAAGAAAGCGTACAGTAAGGCTAAACAAATGACAGGTAAGTAATTTAGAAATGTATACAAGCGTTGTGATATTTAAGATTCAGTAAATTTTGATTTAACAGTGAGGTTTTGAATTAAATTTTTTGGAGAATCAGAATGTGTCCCCACCTTGGGACACTTCCCTGTGGTTGAAAACGTACGAGTTAATTCAGAGGAAAGAAACCTTTAAAAAGTAAAAATTAAAAGGGATTTAATTTTGAAGTTTGTTGACTATTTGTAGGTGCAGGGGATAAAGATAAGTTAGAGAATGTGACAGTGACCCATGTTGAAGGTACAGGAGCTGTTTTAAAGATATCAGAAACAGACATGGACGTTGAGAACCTTCTAGATCAAGTTGAAGCAGACGCAGGTGAATCGAAATTAAATGGAGACTCGAAACCAGAAGAGAAATCCCCAGAGGAAAAAGTTGAAGTGAAGACGGAATTGACTGTTCCTAAAAAACGAGGTCGGAAGTCGAAAGATGCTGCCGACAGTTCAGATTATACTCCATCACAGTCAGTTGTCTCCCCTTCTCCAGATAATCAAGAACAGCGTGTCAAAAGAGTCGTGAAGCGAAAAGTTCTCAAATCAGAATTCCAAGAAACTGAAAAATCACCAAAAGAAGTAAAAGTCCAGGCAAAAGCATCTCCTATTGTAGCTTCTCCAGAAATTGAGGCTAAGAAACCAGCTAAATATGCAATGGGTGATATGTTGTGGGGGAAAGTTGGGGGTCATCCATGGTGGCCTTGTATGGTGTCTGAATGTCCTTATACTTTCCAGTTTACTAAGCTCTCTGGTAAGATATTCATCAACAGACTTTTTTGTGTCCTTGTGCGAAATAGCAAAAATTTGGATCTTAGACATTGCTCATTGATAAATCTACTTTTCAAACCTGAAATAGGTTAGAAGAAGAAACAATAGTTGTGTAACGTGTATACCAAGGATATGCAGGATAAGAATTATGGAATAGGCCTTATTCTCAAAAAGTTAATGTTAGATGGTATTAGTTTTCCGACTTCTGATTGGTCTTTTAAAGTCAATTTGAAAAATCTATTTTAAAGTTAGTTTTATTATCCAATCGAATTAAAGTATATCCAATCAAATTACTTTAATTCTGCTTTTATCTGAGTTAAGTTTTTGAGTAAAAAACCTTGTATATTATATGTATTTGGTTTGATCAAACTATTCAATGAATTATAAAATCTTGGATATATTTAGGTACAGAAAAGTAGGACGTAAAACTTCATTTCATTTGTATATTTTCAGGTAGTCGAATGACCAGGATGTATCATGTACAATATTTTGGTAATGAAGGCGAGCGAGGTTGGATTACGGAGTCCTCTACCATTCCATTTAAAGGCCTGAAGGAATTCTTGGATCATGCCGACGAACAGATCCAAACTGCGTCTAAAAAATTAAAACCAAAAGTTGTACAATCATTTAAAATCCAGCCAACGCGTAAATGTGCTTGGGACATAGGCGTAGCTCAAGCTACGGAGGCCTTTAACTTTGATATCAAAGAAAGACAAGAGAAATATACCTTTGTGTATGATTTAAAACAAAACTTTACCACAGTGAAATCTAAAGACACTCCCGGAACTCCTCCAAAAAAACGTGGACGGAAACGAAAAGTTGAAAGTGACGAAACATCTCCCTCGTCAGTGGATGAACCTAACACACCGGTGGAACAGAATTCAAAACGACAGAAGTTAGATTCCAGAGAAGAGGACAAATCAGATGATAGTCTAGTCAAAGCGTTATTTACGCGCCCTAAAACTGTGAAATACGAAGCCTCATTCGATACGTTTTATAATAAACATGAGGAGAGCGTGTTGGATGAGCATCCTGATTGGTCAGGGGACGAGGTCCGAGAACATCTCAGTCAACAATGGAGTATTATGACAGACAAACAGAAGGCTAGATATAAAACTAAATTTACAGTAGATTCTGATACTCCAAGTTCACCAGGTATGTATTGTTGACGTTGTTGTGTTAGTTTTTCTGACTTTTAAAATTTGTTAAATGCTTAGGTGGTTAGAGAGAAAGTAGAACAAAAAAAAAATTACCATGGATAAATTCAAAAAGATAGTGTCGACTTTGACTGATCTTTCCCAGAATATCCATATTCATATACAGTTTATCAACTAGAACCAACAGAGATTAGAATCCTTGACCCAGTTATAAAGGGTTTTCCAGTATTTAATCCTGTTATATAATGCTGCCTTCCAGCTGGATTTTGGCCAAATCTATTTGGCTTTGATCTTTCCCAGAATATCCACACACATTTACATGTATTGTGATCTGTTGTAGGTAAAAGGTCTCCAAGAGTAAGTAAACCATCCATAAAGAAATTAGAAGCTGATGAAGATAAAAAGGGTCAGCAGAATGTAAACCCTAAATCTACAGGCACTAGAAAGGTAGGTTAATTTATTTAGTTAGGAAAATAAGGGTAACTTTAAGCAAAGATACTCTCTTGTTAAAATATTTTCAGTTAAGACTTCTCACAAAAGAAGGGTTTTTGTGAATCATTAAAACTTAAAATGATTGAATTTCAGTCTCGAAGACAAAGTGAAATGAAATCTGATGGTGAAGAAGAAGTTGCTATGGAAACTGATTCTGTTGAGACACCTATACCATCAGTAAGTGTGATGTATTTATTTGGTAGTATAGATAGAGAAAGGATGTAGAAAATGTTTAGGAAACTGAAAGATAATAACAATGAAAGGTTTTTCCAATTTTTTCATCATCAACCAATAACCGGTGAAGCAGTTTACAAATTTGATTAGACTCATGAGTCATGACTGTATGTGCCTAATATTCTGAGTCATTCCTGTTCCATTTCTGTCTAAATAAAAAGGTATTGCAATGTTTTGATTTTATTTGCAGGTTGAGGAACCAGAAAAGCAACAAAAACAGAAAAAATCAGAAAAGAAAGATACACCAAAACCTCCGAAAGAATCCACAAAACCACCTAAATCTAAATCGCGTAGATCTGAATCAGTGAGCTCGACTGCGACGCCAGAGGACGCCACAGAAGATACAGAATCGTCTGTGCCAGAAGGAAAAGAGAAGAAAAAATCGCGGAAATCTAAAAATTTGTTATCAGTTCCAGCCAATCATGATTCTGATTCAGGATCTGAAAAGTCTGAACCTAGGGTAAGTCACTTCACGACTTGCTTAAAAAATATAACTTGCGAAAACTTCAGTCACACTTGATTTGTCAATCACATTTCATTTTCTATCTGTTATTATCGATGTATCTAACTACAGAGTTTATTCAAGAAATTTGATCCTGGATTTCAGGGCTTTTTCTTGGACTTCGAGCAATGTAGTATAGCTGTATTAACCTGTTTGTCATACACCTTGATTTAATCCTATATTTTCAATAAGAATAAGTTAATTAGATTCTGAAAATTTACAGCAAATTATTGTTCCTTTATGTCTGAATGGAAACTATGATAAGTGACTGTCACAGCTTGTAATACTTGAAATTAACTTGTTTAATGTTTACAGCAAATTAGACTTACCCTTACATCTGCATGAAATTTGAGATTAAATTTTGTATTTGCAACTTTTAAATAATTAAATGTTATTTCTGTTACAGAATGATCTGAAATCACGAGTATTACAGAGTACGATAAAGTCAGGAGATGGGGAGTACGAACTAGATATATTTAAACTTCACGCTACTAGTAACGCTAAACGTGAAAATATCTGTGTTATATGTGAACAACCAGGACAATTATTAGAATGCCAAGGGGCGTGTCAGGGTCACTTCCATGCCAGCTGTTTAAAAGTCTCAGATTATCAGGAAGCAGAGTTTAAGTGTAATGAATGTGAAACCGGTAGGTCAATTTGAAATTTGCAGGAATTGTAAAGAAAGTTTTCTAAAGTATTTATGTGAATTGGGGACACTGATATCATTGATTTTCAATCAGTTCTTGTGTTTCTGACACATTCATTACCAGTTTTTGTGATATTGTGTCTTCCCCTTGAAAGATGTAGGCCAGTTATTCAAAGCATTGAAATAGTGATGTCATTGGCTTGGTTGTTTTTCCCTATCTGTTATAGCTAATCATATTTTGGAAGCCATGCTATTTTGTCCACAAGTTTTCTAATTCTGTTTTTGTCTGTTTCATGCGGAATAAATTCCCCATCTGTTCTAGGTAACCATACTTGATTGGAAACAATTCTTTGTATCTAAAAAGTTTTTTAATTCCCTTAATTGTCTATTCTAGGTAATCATACATGTTTTGGTTGTAAAGAAGCCAGTCCTGAAACAAGGAAATGTTCTGTATCATCCTGTGGTAAATTCTATCATGAATCATGTTTTAAGAAATATCCTCAGTCACGTATAGAAGGCAAATCATATTTCTGTCCTCTTCATACGTGTGCTACCTGTGCAGCAGATAATCCTAAAAATCCTAAAGCCACAAAAGGTATTATTTTGAATACTTTCAATTTGTACACATTGCTTTGAAAACTTTATGGAACAAAATGGTAGGGAAATGAGCCTCTGTTTATTGTACAATTGGCATGGCTAGTTTCTTTCCTGTATTAGCCTGTGTATGACCTACATAGTTGTAGTTCTAGGATTTATTGAAAGTGAATGGTTCAAGGGGATTCCACATGATAATGGCAAACAGCAGTTATTTATGACTAAAAACTTCAGGATAAAACAGCTTCTAAAGTAGTCTGTCTTCACATTTAACACAGTTATCAAATCTGTTTTGACAAATCTTAATGAATATTTTGAATAATTGCAGGTCGTTTATTGAGGTGTGTACGGTGTCCAGTAGCTTACCATGCTGGTGATTATTGTATAGCAGCTGGAGCTATCAATCTAGCAGGAAACCATATTGTCTGTAGTAAACATTTCCAACCCAATAAAACTCAGAGACATCATGCTCATGTTAACGTCAGCTGGTGTTTTCAATGTAGTAAAGGTAGGTATTTAATACTAATACCAAGAAATGTTGACCTTAAAAAAGATTTGAACGACATTAAGAGTACATATCATAAATACTAGACAATAATTATGGAAGATGTGTTTTATATTTTATTAGAGAAGTGAGCTTATTCCATAATATTGTCTGGTGATATCAAAAAACAGATTATTTGATGTATGTTATAAGACTTAAAAAGGGGTGCTATATTGACAAACATAAAGAAATATATAAAAATTAATAACCCTGTGGACCGTGAGTGGCATCACATATTATTTCAGTATCATCTTCTACCTCTAGCCTGATTTAATGGTATATGGAAATGAGATATTGTTTTGAATATAAGATTATAGATTGTTAATATACCAGATGTAGAACAAGATTATTGATATTGAATTGATTTCAGGAGGCACGTTACTATGTTGTGAATCATGTCCTGCTGCCTACCATCCTGAATGTTTGAAGTTATCTTTCCCTGAAGGAAGTTGGTATTGTCAGGATTGTTCAAGTGGTAAAAAACCTCTCTATGGAGACTTGATCTGGATTAAAATAGGCAATTATAGGTAGGTCATAATGATATAGTCTAGGGTGAGATATAAACTGTTTATTGCCCTGTTCTAATATATATCCTATCTGATATGATTAGGTTTAACTGACCTAATCAAAGATAGATAGAAGTCATCTTGGGCTCTGTTAAAATCGTTATCTCGTAATTTGATTATGATAAGGGTTTTTTTTTTATTTTTAAAGCTGGGACATCATTGATAATGACTCATTTATTGCATTTTTTGTTCAGCTTTGTATGAATTCTAAAAGTTACGACAAATTTAGCTTTTATAATGGCGAAATTCTCGAAACTATAAAATGGATTGGATGAACTCCCATTTAAAATCACATTTAATGTGTTGGTAGGGCAAGTTTTGTTAGAACAGTTAAAATAAGAGAGCATGAATAAAGTTGGCTTGTGTTTGCAAGGTTTTTGTCTTCACTTGGAAATCCTCTTGGCAATACAATTTAACAGTATATCTTAATACTATCTGCAAATTAATCATATCATCCTTCAATATATCATCATGTTTCAGATGGTGGCCGGGAGAAATTTGTCATCCTCGAAATGTTCCATTAAATATCCAGGAGAAAACACATCAAGTTGGAGAATTTCCAGTCCGGTTCTTTGGTTCACATGATTTTTACTGGACACATCAAGGAAGGTAAGTTAATGTGTAAATTAAGAATTTTGTGAAATTAAAATGATTTAAATATTCTGAGGCAATATGATTAAAAACTCTCAACAGATGATATTTTAGACAGTGTCCATAGAAACTGTTAAAGAATTGAAATATGAAATTATAATCTATATTTTCAGGGTGTTTCTGTTTCAAGAAGGCGATAAAGGCAGTCGAGATCAGAGTGAGGCTAAAGGACTCGCTAAAATATTTGGAAAAGGTATTGTGCAACCTTTAAATCTTTTGAATCTTGAGAAAATGCTAGTGAATTTCTGAAGCTGTTCTCTAATGATTACTTTGTATCAGATACTGTATTGGATCAGCTATTTCACAGCTGCATTAATTGATGATAAATTGTGGCCACATCTCAAATTAAAATTAGACCTGTCGGCAAGCGAGGTTGCTAATTTTCGACTGGCTGAGGGGTTGCATCAGCTGGCTACTGCCACTGGCCCTTGAAGTTCTATATCGTCAACATACATAAAAAAGAGAAGGCTTCCAATGGCATAAAGACTGAGTTGAAAGGATTCATTTGAGCCTGAGGATATATAAGTTTATCTTTATATTTCAGGTGTAATAGAGGCTACAGAAGCTTTTAAAATATGGCAGGCAGCTAAAGCAAATAAAGAACAGTTAGAGAAAGAAAATAATTCTAAAAAACCAGCACCTTTTAAATTTGTCAAGGTAAGATTACAGAACTAGTGAGAATGCTGCTTCATTGTAAAACAATGTAGGTACTTGATCAAGTACAGATCAGTTTACTTTGACCATTAAATCACAAGTTACTCTCATCATCTTCTATATATCTTTTTGTATTTTAATCCATTTTCATGAAACATAGTAAAAGTTCTCATGGACATGTCTTTAATCAGCATTCCATCCTTTCATTTTGACAAGTATACTTAAGGGAAACCTACAAATTTAGCCATTCAAAAATCTCATGAGTCTGTTGAAATCCTGACTGAATCAGACCATCATTGATATTTTCAGACAAATATGCCAAAAAGAAAAATATATAGTTGTAACCAATCAAAATATATTTTGTTAGTTTAAAGCTTGATTGAATCAGACTATGTAATTTATAATTTCAGACTAATATACCAATAGGTAATGTACAGATTAATAAAGCTGATTTATCAGAGATTCCGAGGTGTGAATGTAAACCAGATCAAGATAATCCCTGTAGTAATGATTCAGATTGTTTAAATCGTATGTTAATGTATGAATGTCATCCACAAACCTGTCCTGCAGCCGAGAAATGTCAGAATCAACGTTTTACGAAGCGAGAATACCCCAACTCAGAAGCCTTGAAGACTCCAAGTAGAGGCTGGGGACTTTATACTAAAGTTGATGTCAAAAAGGTAAGTTAATATCTCCAAAACCAGTTTGTAATTGTAAATAGGTACTGGCCTGAAGTAAGTTAGTTACCAACCCATACATGTCAGAAATAAGAAAAATTTCCTTCGTAACCTGTAGTTACCTGTCCTTATTGGCTCAATCAGAAATGGGTGCCTAGTGTTAGGTTACTTAGGGTTGTACATGATAAATTTCTGTCACTGTAGGCCTACCTTTAGCTTAGTAAAAGTTTGAAGTCAAGAAACATAGTTACTGTGTGAGTTTGTAAATGAAAGCCTAATTGCCTAGATTTTGGCTGTTTAGGATGTGCATCATAAATACCTATAGAAGGGCCAGTTTCCCTCATTGCACAATGCACTCTAACGAATGTAAATGAATGTTTAACAGGGCCAGTTTGTAAATGAGTATGTAGGAGATCTGGTAGATGAGGATGAATGTAGAAGAAGAATCAAACAGGCTCATGAAGATAATATCACTAATTTCTATATGTTAACTCTTGATAAAAACAGGTTGGTTGGTGGTCTTTCTTTCTAATCACAAACATCTCGTGGTTACTGTTATCTTCACAATGTCAAGCTATAACAAACATATACCTTGACTGCAATAGCCACTATTCTAGCATCAAACGATTTGATTAGATTTTAAGCCAGCGAATACAGCCAATCAGAAACCCTTAACTTAAAGACTTGAACATTATGACTTCTGGTTCCAGACTTTCTGTCAATGCCTCTGATTGGCTGTATTCGCTAGCATACAATCCAATCAAATCGCTGATAACAAACTTCCGTGATACAAGAAAGGTGGCTATTGTTGTCAAGGTAACGAGTACGAAGTCTGTAATAGCTTGACATTGTGAAGATGGGTTCCTTGGCACAAAACGTAGTCTGAAGCCAGTTACACAAACACTTAAAACGAAGATACATTTGAAATTCCAAACTTCAAACAATAAACTTCCCTGCAAAATGTATATACGTTTATATTTTAGCATATAGATTTTGACATAGTAAATCTCGTACCAATACCTTCAACTCAGCTTTGAGTTAGATTTAACTTCAATATTTTGTATTTATAGAGTAATAGATGCAGGACCAAAAGGGAATTTATCTCGATTTATGAATCATTCATGTCAACCGAACTGTGAGACTCAGAAATGGATGGTAAACGGTGATGTTAGAGTTGGTTTGTTTGCTCTCAATGATATCTCTGCAGGTAAATTTAAATTGTCATTCAATTTTCACAATAAATACTTTTCTGAAGCCAGATTTGCATATATTAACTTTGTATTTAGAAATAAAAATGAAATGAATGGAATGGAGTTTTATGTCCTACTTTTCTGCACCATGTGAATTAATGAAGACAGGACTTCGTATTCAGGAATGAAACTTTTATATTCCTTTATCAAAGTTTTTCATAATTGTCTGTCACAAAAAACATGTTAGTTTTAGTAAATGATAAGTGTTAAAAAGTTGCAAAGAAATGGATGATTTAAGTTAAAAATTCTGCTGAAAATCGAAAAGTTATAAGATCCATTGGGATCAAACAACGTTTAATTATTCATAGTTTGTGTAAACTTATAAACTTGTATAAATTCTCTCATGGGATATCTTTCTATTTCACCAGGTTCTGAATTAACGTTCAACTATAACCTAGAATGTCTTGGAAATGAAAAAACAGTGTGTGCTTGTGGAGCTTTTAACTGTAGTGGATTTTTAGGGGTTAGACCCAAGGTAAGCTGTGAAATATTTGATAATTGAGATTTCAAACAATTAAATCAGAAATATAACGAATTGAGAAAATAACTTTCAATGCAGTCAATATTATTATCACTTTGAACTCTGAGTGTAAATGTAATAAACCGTCATATACCCTGAACTCCAAGTAAAATAAGATAACGTTAATTTATTGTGACGTCACTTAATAAAGGCCAGTTTACTGCCTGCTTTGGTATATATTCTGTAATTATGTAGCCGGTAAATTGGGCGCTTTCTCTTTGATTTCAGTCGGCAGCAGCTATAGCGAATGCTACCTTATAAATCTATATAGAATTTTGATTACCTTTCTCTTTGATTTCAGTCGGCAGCAGCTATAGCGAATGCTACCTTATAAATCTATATAGAATTTTGATAACCTTTCTCTTTGATTTCAGTCGGCAGCAGCTATAGCGAATGCTACCTTATAAATCTATATAGAATTTTGATAACCTTTCTCTTTGATTTCAGTCGGCAGCAGCTATAGCGAATGCTACCTTATGAATCTATATAGAATTTTGATTACCTTTCTCTGTGATTTCAGTCGGCAGCAGCTATAGCGAATGCTACCCTATAAATCTATATAGAATTTTGATAACCTTTCTCTTTGATTTCAGTCGGCAGCAGCTATAGCGAATGCTACCTTATAAATCTATATAGAATTTTGATTACCTTTCTCTTTGATTTCAGTCGGTAGCAGCTATAGCGAATGCTACCTTATGAATCTATATAGAATTTTGATTACCTTTCTCTGTGATTTCAGTCGGCAGCAGCTATAGCGAATGCTACCCTATAAATCTATATAGAATTTTGATAACCTTTCTCTTTGATTTCAGTCGGCAGCAGCTATAGCGAATGCTACCTTATAAATCTATATAGAATTTTGATTACCTTTCTCTTTGATTTCAGTCGGCAGCAGCTATAGCGAATGCTACCTTATAAATCTATATAGAATTTTGATAACCTTTCTCTTTGATTTCAGTCGGCAGCAGCTATAGCGAATGCTACCCTATAAATCTATATAGAATTTTGATAACCTTTCTCTTTGATTTCAGTCGGCAGCAGCTATAGCGAATGCTACCCTATAAATCTATATAGAATTTTGATTACCTTTCTCTTTGATTTCAGTCGGCAGCAGCTATAGCGAATGCTACCTTATAAATCTATATAGAATTTTGATAACCTTTCTCTTTGATTTCAGTCGGCAGCAGCTATAGCGAATGCTACCCTATAAATCTATATAGAATTTTGATAACCTTTCTCTTTGATTTCAGTCGGCAGCAGCTATAGCGAATGCTAATAGAGTAAAAGATGGGAACAAGAAAAAGAAACGTAAAAAGAAGATAGATATAAAGAAAGAACATGATGATGATTGTTTCCGATGTGAAGAAGGGGGAGAACTAGTGATGTGTGATCATAACACGTGTCCTAAAGTTTATCATCTACAATGTTTAAATCTTACTAAACCTCCTACAGGTATAGACTCATTACTTTAATAGCTTGTCTTAAATAGACCAGTTGTCTACAGATCGCACAGTGTGTGTTTCCGAGTTCCAACAGTAGTCTACATATATCGCACAGAGTGTCTCCGAGTTCCAACAGTAAGCCAGTTGTCTACATATCACACAATGTGAAACTCAGAGTACCAACATGTTTCACGTTTGCTTCTATTTTCTACTGAATCGATTATCCCATACCATCCCAGACACTGTGCCTCGTCTTTTCGTGACTGAAGGGTATTAACACATTTCTGTCTTTCAGTATCGTATTACATCGACTAATAATTTTAAATACATTTCTAACATTCAAAAGAATTATTTGGCCTTCTGCTTCCTATAGGTCCATATACTTTACTGTGTATAGAATATTTTTCTTGTGTATAATTTGTGACATAAAGAATTAATCTTCGCTCAAAAATGCTAAGCCACTATCTTGTAGATGTTGTCAGGACAAAAGGATGTGATCATCTCCTATCAGGAAATCATAACCCATTAGCAGATTACTAAAAGTACATTCAATATGAATAATGTATATTATTTCTATATATTATTTCTGTATATTATAGGTAAATGGCTGTGTCCCTGGCACCATTGTGATGATTGTGGTAAAGCTGCTGTTAAACGATGTTCTAAATGTCCCAATTCATATTGTTCTAAACATATCAAAGGCAATATATTTGATGTAGAAGGAACATTGTATTGTCATGACCATGATAACATCTTATCCACCTTCGCACCATCAAAAATAAAAACACCCAGTGGTAAAATAAAGGAGGAACCAAGCAGTAACGAATCGAGTAAAGCCTCTACGCCATTATCTGATACAGTGGAAGATAACGAAGACAATCAAGATTCCGCGGAGGAGAAAGGCGTGGTAGATAATAATGACAATAATAATAAAAGTTCCAATGGAAATGTTGAACTCGATACGAGTGCCAAGGCAATCAATTTTAAAACTGTGAAAAAAATCTTAACATCGGGAATTAAAACTGAGGAGAAGAATAATTCTAATTTAGGAAACCAGTCCCCCTCCACGGATGCGTTATTTCCAAAAAATTCTGAAAATTTATCAAATAAGAATCTTTCTACCTCTAAATTAGAACCTCGTGCTGGAAATCGTAGCCCAGCGTTAAATAAGGGGTCACCGAAAGTTGAACCAGCCGCTGTCAGACAGCGAGGACGACCCTGTAAAACCAAAGCAAAGATGATTGCCAACATGAAACAAGAAGCAGCTAGAATGATGGAAAATAAACCATTGACTCCACCCCAGAATTTACCCATGGAGGAACTGAAAGTAGCACCCATGTTTGATGATTCTGATGATGGTGAAACTGATTTAGTGATTGATATACCACAGTTCTAGAATAGATTGCGTGCCAGAATTCTGTAATATTTCTAAGGGGTGAGGTCAATGTTACCCAGTGTAAGATAAGATAGGATCTCTTTTTATTTCCCGTATGGAAGGAAGAGAATAAGAAACTGGAATTGGTTGGTGCACCTCAGTTTTAAAACCGATTTGGAATCCCCCCTCAAATGGAAAAGAGTAAAAATTGACGTGTCGAGTTAACACTAAGATAGAATTGGTCGGTGTAAAAAAATTTGTTCTGAAGGATCAGAACTGAGGGTACAAAGTTGAATTCAGGGTTTATAAGGGCTTTAATTTGAGATTGCTATGGTAATGACTGTAAAAGACAGACAGGCAAATTTGAAATTCCGTGTGTGAAATGACTGCTTTGAAAATTATGCAAGGGTACAAACCCTCGTCATCTGTTGGTTAAAATATGTGTAAGAAATATTGTTAATATTGCAATTTGCTGAAGTGCTTTTAGTTTGACAGTGGTGGGAACAAACTGTATTTTTATACCCCATTATGTGAAGCCATACTAAAAGAACCTGGGCACGAAAAAATTAAACTGAAAATATATTTTTCAGAACGGTACAAGAATCTCCACATTGTAAAAAATAAGAATCATGAACAAAATATGGTGGCCATATATTATCTGTAAATAAGTCCTATTTTATGTAACTTTAGCGCTGTTTTAAGACTATTATGTCTAATGTGTGTACAAACTGTATGGATTTCTTGGACGCTGAAAAGGCATGCATTTATATTTCAAATTGGGTGATTCAAATATCAAGCATTTTGTAGGGTAACATTTAAAAATTCTTTGCATCGTATTTTGACATGTTCCTTGTTGCACTAAAGTCTGGAATTTTTTTTTTTTTTGTTGGAACATGTTTATTAGCACTTTAAATACAAAATGTGAAAAACAAGCACATGAGTGATTTATTCGTGAGCTGTTTTTTTTGGTTGGATCTCTCTAGAGCTGCAATGATTCACTGATGAATCGATGAACCGCCATTCTTTCCTTCTTATCGATGCATTGCGTTGGATAAAAATAATTGTGATGTATGGGTATGATTAATTTTTATCTCCCTTTAATAATAAATGACACAGAATCCTTGTGTGTAAAAGAAATTGTGTCATTTTCCAAGTATGACTTTCACATCAAAATTTGTAAAAATTCATTTCTAACTCAAAAAAATTACAAATTTTTTCACAATTCCTTACTTCTAAATGTTCTCAAGTGCTTAATAGTGACAAACTTGTAATTTTACAATTTCTGCTATTTTTCCCCCTCCCTTCTCTAATAAACGCATCGCGATAATTATAGCAATAAATCGTATCGTTGGATGAGTATCGTATCGTGTATTCAGGAATCGTTGCAGCCCTAGATCTCTTAGTTCTTGTTTAAATCATCAATCGTACTTCAATTTATTAATTGTGTTATTTGATTGGTTAATCATTCTCATTAATATTCATATAAATAATCTTTCTCATTATTCTCAATATCATTTTATGCATTTGAATTCAAAATTTAGTGTATATTTTGTACAAATAAATTTAAAAATTGAGAAAGCGTTTCACATTTCTGTAATGACGCCTGTTGCCAAAAACATAATTTGAAGTCTGTCCTTAAATGTTATCGACCAATTTAAATTTATACAGTTAATGGCACCCACTCTCCCTTGCGTTTCACCTTTGTACTATAATTAGTTTCGATATATGATTTAGATTACGGATTAACAGTTACTTTTACATAGATATCGGGGTTTCTGGATTATCATCAACCGGATAACGCGGCTCCATGTATTGTTTAAAATTCAACGAGTAAGATGTATTGATGTAGAGGTATTTCAATACACATATTAAGATATAAAACACAAAAAACTAATCACTTGGTCCAATTTATAAGTCATAGTACACAAGTCTACAAATAGCCAATATGGGTCATTGTGAGGTTCTATAACCCAGTCAGTTAGACCGTTGGTTCTTTACATGAAGTCATTTGCTTGGATAGGTTATGCAAATGGTGGCTGTGTGTTCTGATGACCTTGAATAAGTCATCATCACTCATTCCAGTCGTTTCAGCTGTAAATGGGTACGGATAATCCGGAAAAGATCAATGCCAAGGGGTTTAGCCAAGGACTGGCTCGTAGGATCGTTAATTGTAAACTTGTAAAATATAGTTGTTTCTTTCTTTCATTCAAGAGATTTCAATCCCAGCTGTCTGTTGAAAAAGTAAATTTTTTCATCTAAAGAGTATATGGTTACAAATAATGTACTGGACAACTCATTCTTTTGCAGAAAATCTTTTTTTCTCTAAATGAACTGAAACTAAAAGTTGCCAGTTTTTAAAAATCACTTGTTGAAGCTTGTATCACTAGATGCTATCAGTTCTATAACAAATACTGTATAAAGATTACCTTGTATGTTGTTCTAATAATTCCATTTTAGAAAGTTATTTTATATTTTAAGACATTCTGTTACACCATTGTAAATAAGAAAATGTTTATTTAGAGTACAATTGATGGAGTTACATTTTCTACAGAATTAAAACAAATAGACAATATTTCTCTCTTTAATTTATTGGGGGCTCTAATGTCTGTAGTGAGTTAACCTTAGGGTCCACGCTTCTAGTCTGTGATATTTTGAGATGGTTCCCCTTTTATTCAATTCTTTGCAGTGATGCAGTCTTAAGAGGCCAATATGAAAAAGAGTGAAAATCTCGAGACGAATATCTCTCTTAATTTTATTGGGGGTCTATAAAGTCTCAGTGAGTTAAAATTATAGTCTTTGCTTTTAGCATGCAATATTCTGAGATAGTGTCATGCAATTATTTAATCCCAGTTTACCCCAGTGATATAGTTCAAGAGGTCAATATGGAAAAAGTATTTTTATATCAATAGTAGCTTTTGCGAAAGGGTGTCATAGAATGCTAACTTTAAGTGGAATTGCAAGAACCACAGATGTAAATTGACATGGTGCATATTGATACTAAAAATTCAGAAAATCTCTTTACAATCGTTTTAACCTCCCAACACACGTAGCATTTAGTCTCTTGCTGAACAAACTCATTTTTGCGAGACACACAAAATTATTGGAAATTGAAATTTTCCATCAATTGAGACTATGACCAGTAAAACATATTTTTGAGTTTATTTGTAATAAATATATTAACAATAACAACAAATAAGGCTCAGTTTCAAACTTCCACATCTTTCAACGATAGATCACATTAAAAAAACGGAGAAAAATTTATGGGATACTACTCTTTGTGTTCTCAACTGTGGAATCTTCATAAGAACAATCTCTCAGTAATCCAGGACCTGTATTCTTGAAACAATCCTAGCGCTATGATCGTTTCGAGAATACAGGTCCTGAAGTAGTATCACTAGTATACCATCAAACTGTGTTTTGTACCTCCAGTATACAATTTTAGACTAACAACATAAAATCCATTAGTTTCATTTTGTGTTTGAGAAGTGTAAGCACACCATTAGTAATTAATGAATATAGTATTTGCAAGGAAATCTCAATTTAAGGGTTTGGATTCACTCTGATAGAACAAACTATTTTAAAATCCATTATTGGAGTGTTAAACTGTTCTACAATATCAATTTAGCTGGATGTTTCCTTGTCATCTACCAATCCACCATTTGACTTTAAATAAGGGAATCAAAATGCTGAGCAATGTCACATTGACAAAATGTTTTGAACAAAATCTTGACTGACAGTCCAACATCAAGATGGCCACACCCTCTTCTTCACAATATATAACACAGTAGCGAAGAAAAAGACTAGAGCTAAGAAGATTAGAAGTTTGTCTGTTAAATCTCGTCTATCGTATTTTGTTAACAGTCTATGTGATGTCTGTATGTGGCCTCCCATGGCTTGAAATTCATCGTGGGTATCAGAAACTGTTTTAGAAGAAGAAACTGAAAAAAAAGGAGTTGTAATATAGCATTTCATTGATAACTTTTAAATGGGACATGTTTTAATGCAACTTCTTCCAGTACAGTGTACGGTGCAGAATAACCAATACAAACAAATATATATGAAGTGAACACATGCGGTACAGGTTAGGACAAGTGCATACAGGATTCGTTTCTTCTATTTTCTACTGTATAGATACTGGTAATCCCGCATCGAACACTTCGACTATGAAATCAAAAGCATCACCACTTGGTTGTATTTACTGAGTACTCGAAATTATGGCATCCAATTCGCAACAAATCTTACGATACAAATTTGTGGTAAGTGAGAAAACTTACATTTGGGAGTAAAATACACTTCTGACAAAAGTTGATGAGAAGATCTTTTGAGAAAAAAAATCTGACAATCAAATTTGTTGTTAATATTATTTTCTCAATGTAAAATTCTATACTTTGGATTAGTACTCAGAATAAGATTTTTTGTAGAATGGAAATCCCCAGAAATTGAAACCCATCGACAAAAAGAATACTCACTTAAAGTAGTATTAGTTTGTTCACTCTGTTTAACCTGTCCTACCATCATTCTGTTTAAATTCATTAAAGATTCTGTTATATTACTGGCTTTAGCTGCTAGTGTTTCTTTATTGCCTTTAGTTCTACAATACATACAACACATTTTATATAATATAAATGACAATATGCTGAAAAATATGAAATAAAATCGGTTGTCAGCCTTTTACACTTCAAGCAATGATGATGAAAAGATGTCTTATACTTAGTTCTACAATACACAAAAAACACTTTACAGTTGAATAAATAAAATCAGTTGGTTCCCTATTCATCTGCATTCAAATTTTTAACATGAAATTTTAAAACTGATCGTATTTCAAAGTTGTTCAACCTATAAAGATGTAATTCGTTGAGAAGGTTTCTTATATCAATGTTAATATGAGGATGAAATATTATGGTCTTAGCTTTGATTCTTTAAAAATAATCTTGAAATGAAAAGTGTTAGATTTTTTCTGAGCTATTCAATAACACATTAGTTTATATATTAATGTACAAACCTCTGACGTAACTCTGATCCACCATTGAACAAGTCCTGTTTATTCTGTTTATCAATCATCAACTGTGTTGTAATATTCGTCTGTCGTAGACATGTTATTGTGCTAAAAAAAAAAAAAATATTAGACTTTTTACAGGCATTATTCATTTTAATGAGCTAGATCAGAAAAACAGATTTATCAATAACAAGTTGTTCACTGTTAAAATAGCACTAAATGCATTAATTACAGAGCAATATCTGCCCTCTCTGCTCCCCCTTAGGCTCTACCACTGATTACAGCCTATAATTCACATGCATGGTGGGATACCGATATAGGCCTTACGTCATGACAAAGTTCTAAACATATAAAAAGTAAACATGAAATATTCAGATTGTAGTTGACTGTTCAGATTGTAGTTGACTGTTTCAATACTCACCTCATTAATTTCTGTTTGTGAGTGTCCACGTTTTTTAAAATGGCTTCTCTATCAGCATCTTTATCTTGTTCACGTCCCAAATCATCCAAATCCTGAAAAAGAATATGTTGTCAAAAAGGGTGCACGACACAACAACCACATGGGCTGGATACATATCTTGATCTTTCCATCAATATTTGACCAAAATGTGCAGATCCTCCAGAAATAAGTATTTAAATATAAATCAAAATATTGTCTTTAAGGTAGGAAATTTGGTACGATTCAAACCAACAAGTGAATCATCCAAATAATATTCAGATAACTGGTTCATAATATTCAATTTCTAGGCAACTTTTAAGATAAAATGAGATAACAAAACCCACTAAAAAACAATACATTATATTCAGATAACTGTTCAATACTTACGTTAATTTTATTCCGAAGTTTGTTTATCTTTTCTCGGACATCTTGATTTAATTCTTCCAACATTTCTGTTGTCTTGGCCACATCTCGAATATCCTTTAAAAACAAAAAATTGTCAATTTATCTGTACATTATGAAAAATCATTGATCTCTTCTAAAAGCCATCTACTCTCTGACTACATTGTCTCCAGAATTGAAATATTAGTTATAAATATTACTGAGAGTTTTTGTTTGTCTTTGGGTTGATGAAAATGTCAACCACTAGAAAGGTTATAATTTGTAAACATGATTTTACAAAGGGGAATTTTCAGTTGAAGTGAATTTTCTTGGAGAGGAGAAAAGTGTGTCTATTTCAAATGTAAAATCACTGAACCTTATATTTCTATGGACCCGCAGACATTCTAAGACAAATGGTATACCGTTGAAAATTTGATTTTTGAATGTTATGAACTGAGAGAAAAAAATTCAATTCAAAGCTCAATGTAGGCATAGAGTAGTTTGGGCTATATGAAATGACAATAAGGCTTCAGAATATATGCTATGTGTACATGTAAACAAACAAAACGGAACTCCTATATTTTAGAGTTGTCATGTCATTAGGCCATTTTCACGATCCATGATTTGTAGTGCCACGACCACAACCAGCCAATTGCAATGTAATAATCTTCAGGGGAAAGTTTAAGAAACTCATTATCTTCAGGTTTTATATACAAAGATTGGGAAGTAAGATATACAGCCTGTTCCAACATGAAATCATGTCTATGCACAACAAGGCTTAATGAGTTGTCTCCCCTCTTCAATATAACTGCCTCACTGAATCGGCGTCAAATCAACAGATTATTGACAATGTCCAGGCTACCAACCGGCCGATTATCACAAAACATTTGAAAAATCAAAGAATTGAATTCATATTGCCTGGTGAGGCCCTTACTTGAATCAAGGCCTTAGCCTCCAGGTCTAATTTCACAATTTCTTGAAGGCAAAGTCTGACGTGGATATCTTCCGCCGCCATGTTTACAAATTTGTTAGTGCAGTTGTCGTAAAACTATTTAAATGATTTTTTCTGGTGCGTTGTTTTGAAGAAATTGAATGTTTTGGTAACACAAAGAGTGCAAAAGAAATGTAACGATTAATTTTGTGTCATTCAGATGGTGTAACGTCTTAATATGTCGACTTTTGGATTTGTCGCACTTAAATTACTATTTTTGGCAGGGAAATTCCTTACTTCCGGCTTTCCCAATCCACGTCGGCTTAGCTGTCAAAATTCATAAGAAAAAGATTATGAGCTGAAAGAGGGATTGATTAAACACCAATTAGCACTATTTCTATTATCATCCATTTCTCACTACATCCTGGATTCTAACAATTCATTCATGGCGAGGTATGTAGCTTTTTGTGTTTGTTTTTGTCGATTTTTAGGTCTGAAAGAATGTCAAATTTGAAAGAAAAGTTGAATTATTGAAATGAATGAAAACACTGTCTGTAGACACACCCTGTCCAAATTGTAAAGGACATAGCTCACACCTTTTGTAAAAAGTTTTCAAAGGCCTTAAAGGAAAACAAAATAGAAAATATCATTAAATGGACAGATGCACTATACCTTAGTCTCAGAAATGGAAATCTTTTATTAGCAAAGCCAACCAGTAATAGAGTTCACAGCTCATTCTCAGAATTTGAGCCTTCAAATCCATGTGTGTCCAGAATTATTCGCGTTTGGAAGTAATAAAGACGAGTTTTGGTTTCTTGAGACACTGCCATATGTAGAAAGACATCAATAGAAATAGGAAAAGAAATTCCTAGTTTGAGACTGAAGGCTATTTACATACATTCACGACTCAAATCAACCCAATCTGGTTCATTTGTCCCTTTAATGTAAATGAAATTGTCATGGGAATTTCGTGGAAAATGAGAAACCAAGGTAGACCAATGAAAAGCGAGAAAGAGCATGAGAGGGAGGGAAAGAAGATAAGTGAACTGTGGAACAGTGTTTGTTAGTAAAACGGTGATGAAAACTTGGGTAAAACTAAACAATATCAACCTAAAATATAGCTCCATTACATTGTTCTGGGAAAATAAAACTAGAACATACATGGTAAAATATCCTGGGACAGAAGTAGGGTATGAGCAGTTCTGATTTTTGTGCTACTTGCATTTTCAATATGCCACATGTTTCACTCAGAGAATTTTGTGGTGTCTGTGTTTTATTCTATCAAATTTAATCAGTAATTGTATTCCATTAGAGATATCTTTATATAGTGAAATATTGTTTATTGTCCTGGTATATAGCAATGCACTTCAGTGGCCATTGGCTAATACCTGTTCAAAATGTCTTATATTTTTAATTTTTAGTATATAAAACTTGACAAAACGATTAAATTAATTTTTTATGAAGTGAATTTATGTTCATTACTAAGAAATGTTCACTTTATTAGAAAGAAATGTTTCAAGTTTGATTAATTCTGACAACACGGCTGCTCTGCGTAGTCATTATGTATGATATTTTTTGTTCTTTGACTATTCTAATTAGTCCCGTCTTCATTAGTCCACATGGTCCAGAAAAATAGGACGTAAAACTCATTTATTTCATTTCATAATTAGTCCATAAGGAAGAAATAATAACATAAACAATAGTCTGTATTATGGGACGAACCATGGTAACTACCTAATTAGGGCATTGTAAAGCACCTAGAGGCTAATTAGTAATTAGGACTGTCTCATTAAAGCCATTGTTACAGTGTCAATATATCTTTTGTAAAATGTATCTATAATAGATTTACATAGCTTGTCTTATGTACAGACTTGAAAAAATGCTGGAATCTTCTTAATTAACTTATTTCTTGAAATTCAATTTTTTTACCAACAAAATGTTTAAAATAATTAAAAAAAATAATAGTCTTAAAGCATCTGTATTTATTAGTAGACCAAAGCACAGGTTGAACAAATAAGTAGATATATATTTTATAGATAGGTAAATAGATAAGATAAAAAAACATAGCATTAAATTACAAATACAAACAAAGGGATTATTGAAATAATAAATATATAATCTTAATACCAGTGATATTGTCTGTATGATAGTTGACATTGTTAACTGAGAAACCAAAACTGATTGCAGAGTTCTATCAGGTGTTAAGCTGCCAGTCAACATGATCCACCATGTTTGTGACATCTTGATTATTTATGGTAATCTACATATTTTTTTGATAGTTTTCATGAAATATTAATAGTCTTTGAATAATTAGATTTTCTCGAATTTGATTGCTCTGAAGATCCAATATGATTTCAGCAATAATGGGAAAACTCATCAAATTTTGATGGAAAGGTCCCACTTTGATGCAAATCAACTACCGTACTGTTATTGAAAGATGTAACCTTTGCAGTAGCATGCATTTTATAAATCCTTTAGATGTCAGACTGTATTCATGCAATTAAATGAAGATGTGCTTTCAATTGCTAATATAATATATAACAAAACAAACTCAAACTTTCATTCATTAGGTAGTTAAAAAAAACATTACTATTCACTGTGACTGTAAAAAGTTGAAGTTGAAGATTTGCCTGATGCTTTTCAGAAACAATGCTTTAGAATTTTTGATGGCAAGTATGATATATAACAAATCAAACTCAAAAATTTTCATTCATAAGTTAAAAATAAAATTAAACTAAACAGTGTAAAAACTGTAAAATTTTAAAAAGTTATGAATTTACTTTTTAATATATATAATAGATAATCAAATAAAAAATAAATTTTTCTGAATTATCTTTGATCAAATTTTACATATAATAAAACAGATGACATATGAGACTACACAAAGAAACTGTTTATTTGATTATGAATAACTGTCAGCTTTGAATTTTAAAAATATTGTTTGATTTATGAAGGGTGTTATTTGTTATAATTAATATCAGATAAAAACATAAGATAGTTTTTAGTTGTGTTTTATTTTATGCAATAAACTTCCTTTAATCTTGTTTAAAAAAACACACAGTAAACTAAAAAAACTGACATAAAATCACACTCCATTGTGTTAAAAATAATAAGAAAAATATCTTTTTGTATCTGACTGGCATTGTTGACATATTATATACATGATAGATTGGAATTTGAAATATGCAGTGTGTCTGTTTGGCTGACATAATTAATTAAAGATTCAATCAAGGTATTTCTCTGATTTTCTGGAATTATTTTTCACCAAATCATCTTCATCATTTTCATAATTTCACAGCTGAATAATTTTTAAATATTTTTCACATGCTTCAGCCACTTAAAGGGATCGCAAGGTTATCTAAACTTTTTATGTGTATTAGGGGAAATGATAGCATCAATTTGCACCATTCCAATTTTCAGTAAGATGTATGTTTAAAACTTCCACTTAAACCAAGTGCTTTATGACATAGCTATCGCAAATATACTCAGTTATTAGCAGCTTTTTCTTGAGTTATATCCGAGAGTGAAGCTTTTCTATAATTACAGGAACCACAGACATCTGACGGTAAATCGAAATGATGCAAATAGAAGCCATTAATGGCCCTGATACACATTTAAACCTCTATATAACTTTGTGCCTTTAAGCATTTTGAAAGTAGTTGTCTGTGTTATGTTAGTTTAAGAACACACCATCTCAGTTCAGATACAGCCTCTATAGCAAGTGTCTTTCAAGAGCAAGCATGACCTGTTGAAATATTATCAAGGTTAGAAGTCAGATCTATTAGATGTATAAGTTTTTTAGATTGAAATAATTGATTGTCCCAGCTGTTCACTGATTATTATAGTTTTTTTTTATCACTGTTATTATTTTCTTATTTCTAATCTGAAACAGGTATATTTCTATTAAATTTTATTGGACTAATTATAACTTGATTAGTGTACTGTGAATTCTGAGCATTTACAAGATTTAAGTATTTTCTTGTATTAAAGGGGTTGTGAAGAGGTTTTTCTAAAAATTTTATGTGTATTGGGCATACTGATAGCATCAATTTGCTTTTGCACCATTCCAATTTTCAATCAGACGAGTTTTGTTCCTGTAATTCAGCTAAAACTCTGCTTTTTATGACTAAATCACAAGGGCCTAAGTACTTTCTTGTATTAAGTTAGTACTTTCTTGTATTAAGTTAGTACTTTCTTGTATTAAGTTAGTACTTTCTTGTATTAAGTTAGTGCTTTCTTGTATTAGGTTAGTGCTTTCTTGTATTGACCTAGTACTTTCTTGTATTAAGTTAGTACTTTCTTGTATTAAGTAAGTACTTTCTTGTATTAAGTTAGTACTTTCTTGTATTAGGTTAGTACTTTCTTGTATTAAGTTAGTACTTTCTTGTATTAAGTTAGTACTTTCTTGTATTAAGTTAGTACTTCCTTGTATTGAGTTAGTGCTTTCTTGTATTAGGTTAGTGCTTTCTTGTATTAGGTTAGTGCTTTCTTGTATTGACCTAGTACTTTCTTGTATTAAGTTAGTACTTTCTTGTATTAAGTTAGTACTTTCTTGTATTAAGCTAGTATTTTCTTGTATTAAGCTAGTACTTTCGTGTATTAAGTTATTACTTTCTTGTAATAAGCTAGTATTTTCTTGTATTAAGCTAGTACTTTCTTGTATTAAGCTAGTACTTTCTTGTATTAAATTGGTACTTTCTTGTATTGAGTAAGTACTTTCTTGTATTAAGTAAGTACTTTCTTGTATTAAGTTAGTACTTTCTTGTATTAAGTAAGTACTTTCTTGTATTAAGCTAGTACTTTCTTGTATTGAGTAAGTACTTTCTTGTATTAAGTAAGTACTTTCTTGTATTAAGTTAGTACTTTCTTGTATTAAATAGTTGGCTAGTACTTCCTAGATATAATATACACATGCCAAGATTAATTTACTTGAATTCTTTTGAAATCAAACTATTTCCAATCATATCTTCTGACTTCTCATTTTCTATAGATTATTTTATACAGTATATAGACACAGCTTTATGTAACAAAAATCACTGATTAAAGTTTTATGCAACGTTTTGATACAGAATGGAAACATGTCGAAAGGTTGTATAAAACTTTAACCAGTGTTTGTTGTTCTATAAAGCTGTGTCTATATTATACCTACAATTGCTAAATGCTATTTAAACACTTTATTTTATATAAAATGATATATGTATTGTTTTTTCTCTATGTAGATAATAAGAATGATATTAGTGATGTCCAACACTAGGTAGGCTGTTTTTTTATGTTGGTGTACAATCTAACAAGCATATTTTTACTCATCCAGATCTGCTACAAAACAGGGGGCCCTCATTACATAGTGATCACGTCTTGTGTATTGTTGTCAATAAGAATAACAGTCTAACGTATCTCTCATGCTACTGAGTTGTGAGTTGCATTCAGAACTCATCACCACTTTCATTGTTCACACTCATACACAACAAGTGATGGCTATGGTGTGAGGGCCCCATTAGGTAGATTAAGTAATAGAAACTATAGAAACTGAACTTACATTGTATTGATAACTACTTTAGATACCGGTACATGAAAATAAATTGGACTGGACAGTTATTGTTTTGAATTAGACCTGGATGAGCAAATATATATCTGCTTAGCTTATAATTATATCAGATACGATAAACAGCTGTTACAGTCTCTTAATGGATGGGCTATAGTTGGAAAATCTTAACATCATTTGCCTAATTTTGTCAATAAAGTGGTGGCTGTAGGTCCTAATCTTGGTTGCATGCATCAATGCAAATTTTTACTTAGATGTGAGTGGTTTTGGGAACATTTAACAATAATTAGTGATATTTGATCAAATTAAATACCTGATACAGAATCAGTGGAGATCACAGTATTTTACAATGACATAATAACCATTTAATGCAAATTTTACTATGATGTGGTTTTGGGAACAATTGATAACAACATTAAATTATCATGTTTTAGGAAAATACAGTGGTGTTTTTAGTAGTGCTGGGTATCGTCAATCATGTCACGATACAATGCGTATCACGATATAAGGGTCACGATGCGATTCATATCGTGATGTGAGGTAATGGGATAAAAATTAACATTTTATCTTCATAGTAGTTCATAACTTTATAACTGTGATGTGATATAAAAATGCACTTTAAAATGTATCACCAAGTCTTGATACACAACATCGCAATACGATACAGGTATCGTGTAGTGTTGAAACAGTTAATAAATTTTACGAACCGGGTAAACCGTTTGTTACCCGGTTAATCCTGGTTAATTACTACAGATTATGAAAGGAGTCAAAAACCGCATTTGGAGCGGTAACTCACCGTTAACTCAACTAGAGTAAGTGTAAATGAGTACCCATGAAGATTTTGGCTAGTTCCCCGTGAATTGTCGGTACAAATCAACAGATACCAAACAACCCATTGAAGGATCTTCTTCAATGTAAGATTAAGAGCGGGCCTGGCAGAGTTCATACAGACTGGTGCCATTGTCACTCATTGCTACAGTCTCTAACAGATCAAAGGTTTTTATACCAGTTGCGGGGGTCAGTGTAATGAGTGTACCTCATTGAAGTCGCTGCGAATCAGTGTACTGGTTCCACAACTGGTATAAAACAATTGTCTCAATGAATCCGTACTCGTGAATATTAATAAGCTTGAAGCTGATTGACAGGCAAGACGAAACTAACAGCCAATTAGACGAGAGTTAATAAAAAATAATATGATCTTTATAACTGTTTTATTCTAAGCAGCTTGTACTCAATTGAAATAATAAAAATAATAAATTATTAAAACACATTTCTGCAATACAATAAAAATAATATCAAGATTCAATGAACCGTGGCGCGTGCCGAACATCTGATAATGATTACAGTGCTACAGTGCTTATTTGTTTAACCTAAGTAACATAACGGTGCACACAGCAACTGTCTACAAACTAAGACCATCGTGACGCGATTATCCAGAACGAGTAATTAATTGAACGTATATAAAAAAAAAGAGGCTTGATAATCTTGACCACAATTCTTGCAACCCGTTAGTGTTTAGATAATTGATACCCTATCTTGATTTATTAATCTCAATTATTCAATCAATAAAGATGTTTATTTACTAAAGAAAACAGCTTAAAGACTCATACAGTGACGAATTTTCTATCAAAATTGCTCTCTTTTTACTCCTTATAAAATTGACAGTTAACCGATTATCTCAAATCAGACTGGGTTAGCCGTGAAATACTACCCGAAATTGGTTCACTGATTAACCGTTTCAACATTAGTATCATGGCATGTCGTATCGTGATATATACGGTAGTCCTCTAAATGCTTCTCATGGCCCAGAAAGACACCTTTCATTTTTACCCCCATCCCTCCCCTCTCAGGCATTTCCTAGATACACCCCTGGGAGAAAAGAATTTGATTGATCTGATTAAACAACAGCTTTCTTCTTTCTGATGTGGAATTGGTTGTAAGTTTTCTATCAGTAGAAGCCATTTTCTTCCCATTGCCCAGTGTATGGTGAACAGATATACTTTCTGTTGGAGTTTCTGTCGTATGCTACAGCTTCAAGTGTTGTTACATTGTAACTTAGATCTGGAATCCCACATCCAGCCAGTTGACATCGAACAGCTGTTCTGTTCATTTGTACACACTTGGATTTCAACGGGCATTTCAGACTATGACAAGCTTTGTTTACAGTAGTTGGCCAACTGCTTCTAAGAGAATATACAGAGTTCTTGTCTTCATATCTACCAACTGCAGATCTGATATACCTTAACTCACATTTGATTTGACCAACCATGTTGAATGATAGACACTCTGAATGAGCAAGACACTCATGTACACATTCAAACAGACTGTTGACATACAGCACATGGTATATATATTTAGGAGCTCTTTGTGATGGATGGACTTTATCTGACAAACTGTCAGAGTTCTTCATACACATATTACTCAAACTAGGTGGAGTGTTTTGGTTAGTACCATTTACAAAACCCAGATCTAGCAACACCATCATTGTCAGTATTATCCAAACATTCTGCAACTTTATCATCAGCATCACTTGAGTGTAGTTTTGAAAATTTCTGAAAATTAAATGTAAATCGTTTATTTTTTTCATTAAATAAAGCAAGTTGATAAATTGTCATCCATGTAAATTTCACCTCTGTTTAACTATGATGGTCTTTGTAACAATTATTCAAGAATATAGACACAGCTTTATGAAACAACAATCACTGGTTTAAGTTTTATACATTTCGACATGTTTCCCCCATCATCCCTGTTCAATCTTCAGCAGCTATTAAGATTCTAGAAAGAGCAAGTCATGCCCTTGTAAAGGAAAAAATCCAGCACCATTGGAACCAAAAACAACATCTCGCCATCAAAATTTGAACAGCTATGTCAAGAAGTGAAAATCAACCGAACTTGAGAACCAAGCAAGAGAAGTCCAATAACCATCTTGGCCAAAAAATCAATAACTCACAACAGACCAAATTCAACAACCTAATAAGATGGAAAAACCATTCAAAAAATTTATCAACACAACCAAAAGAATGAATTCCTAATCTAAATTGTTATTAACCTAAGCCAGAAGAACCTTACAGATGAACATATAAACAGAGGCCTAAAGTCTTTAAGAAATTAACAAACTAAAAAACCATGATGACTTCATCGTCAACAAAGAACATGGCTAACACCAAATACCACTGTTAAAATAGTGCTCAATACATCAATTGTAGAGTGATATAGAAATACCACTGCTAAAATAGTGCTCAATACATTAATTGTAGAGCGATATAGAAATATCACTGTTAAAATAGTGCTCAATACATCAATTGTAGAGTGATATAGAAATATCACTGTTAAAATAGTGCTCAATACATCAATTGTAGAGATATAGAAATACCACTGCTAAAATAGTGCTCAATACATCAATTGTAGAGCGATATAGAAATATCACTGTTAAAATAGTGCTCAATACATCAATTGTAGAGTGATATAGAAATACCATGTTTCTCATGTTTCTTAATAATAAGTAATTGAAATTTTTCATAAAACTTTAACCAGTGATATGTATTGTTCTTACATTTACTAAATGCCATTTAAAGACTAAAATTATTCAAAACGATCTGGTTTAAGTTTAAGTCCATAAAATTGATATAACAATTCAAAATCTATAGTCACTGAGCAATCTTTAACTTACCTCTTAGATACGTGGCTGTTGACGACTGTGACTTTGATAATAATATTTCTTGGAATAACAATCTGAACTTGTCAAGAATAATCTTTAATAAACTCTAACATTAATTCAAATGATGTCCTACCAAACAATTCAATTTTGTGACTCTTTTTCAGAAAATTCTTCAAATGACAAACTGACTTTGTCAAGAATATTCTTTAAAGGAACATTACCTTTTAGTATAGACTTAAAATTTATAGTCTCAAATTTGAGAGTCAGAGACCTTTCAAGAAAGTTCCTGAGGATGAGGCCAAAAATGAGAGGCCCTTTGAGGTGGGCAGGCATGGGCCCCTAAAAGCCAATTGATTTCAAATGGCCTGAGAAAAATTTTCAATGCCTCTGATAACAGTATGTATTGATCAGTTGGACTTACCAGGTGCCATGACTAAAAAGAGAATCTCTTTATAACATGCTATTTCCAATCAAGTAAATAATTATTGAAAAACACTTCTAGCCATGTTTCAAAATTACACAGTTAAATGGAATATTACTTAGTTTTATAGATTTATTAGTTTATAGATGATTCTATTGTTTAGCTATGACACCAGGTAAGTCTTTTGATGAACAAAGACTAATTTTGGCCAAGTTTTAAATTTTTGAATTTTTTTGATCATCTTAAGAGGTAGTATACCTTTAAAATTAATGAGTTGAACTGTTTCATTCTGTTCATTCATTTGTGGAATGTTGATATTTTTATGATTATTCAATCAAAGATATTACTTATCAATATTTGATCAAGTTATAAAAACAAAAACTTAGTACTTAGTCTGTACATGTTTAAACATTTTAAATAGGAGAAAAAAAAACAATCAGAAGTGACAAAATGGAGCCCTCTATGACTGAAGTGAAGTGAGTTCTGGCCACAGTAAGAGCGTGTTCTTATCAGTAGAACGTATTCTACTCGCTATTGAATATCGAACGCACCTGATCATGCTGAAGGTCAAGGCTATCTCTACATGTAAACAAAGCCAGATGGTTGTTCAGTGAATATTTCAGATATATTTTTTTTTTTTTTCTTATGAAATCTAATTTTGAATTCAACATTTTTTCCACCTGAATTTTTGCCTGGATTTCAAAACTGCAGGCCTATCATTTTTTATTTTAATTATATAAAAATTAGAGGCACCTAGATTTATTTCCTTTGTTAGACCAAAATTTACAATAAAACAAAACCATATTCAAGGCTTATTTAAAACAAATATTGTATTTTGTAATTTTCAGGTATTCAGGCAATCGATGAGATAAATGAAGCACCAAAAACAAATTGTAACCAGCATAAAATTCAATTTTCATATTGATCTCTCTTTTTTTCAAGTTCCAACCATCAAAGACAACATGTATTATTCTTTGCAATGTAATAAAGTTTATAGAAGGCCTACAAATGATTTTTAAAAGTAAAATCAAAATCAATGACTTACTAACTATTAGATTACTTTTTTTTCTATGGATAAAAAAATTTTGTTCGCTCATAGCCTTTTTTTTTTCAAGAAATTTTGAAGAACAGAAAAAAATATTGGTATGGCCTAAAAATGAGTGATATTTGATAATTTTCAGTAAAACTACAATTCAGTTAAAGTCTTTGAATGGCATTTAACAATTGTGAGTACGATATATAGCACACAACAATCACTGGTTAAAGTTTTATGCAACATTTCGACGTGTTTCCCCCGTCGTCCTCAGGCACATAATGAGAAGAAGTGATGGGCAAACTATATATACATTAATGCTTATTAAGAACACACAAGAGATAAATGGTTTATTGATACAATTCAGTTGTTTGATTGAGCTGCTACTGCTTGATCACCAATAAAGGCAATGGATCACATCCTGGAAAAAAACGTAATTTAAATGCCTAATTTCAAAATCAGTGGAAATCACAGTATTTTACAATGACGTCTGGCCATTTAATGTAAATTTTTACTTAAATAGGAGTGGTTTTGGGAACATTTAACATTAATTATAGTTTTTGGGAATGTTTTATTCAGTACGTCATCATACATAAAAGTAATCAAAAATATTTGTAAGAATTTTGATTGGTCTTAATATAAAGTCCACAAGCTAAACTGCAAACCTGAAATCCAAAGCAACAAATTGAAAATATTGTTAGCTTTCTTCTTCCTGATGTGGAATTGGTTGTAAGTCATTTTGTTCCCATTGCCCAGTGTGTGGTGAACAGATATACTTTCTGTTGGAGTTTCTGTCGTATGCTACAGCTTCAAGTGTTGTTACACTGTAACTTAGATCTGGAATCCCACATCCAGCCAGTTGACATCGAACAGCTGTTCTGTTCAATTGTACACACTTGGAATTCAACGGGCATTTCAGGCTATGACAAGCTTTGTTTACAGTAGTTGGCCAACTGCTTCTAAGAGAAAATACAGAGTTCTTGTCTTCATATCTACGAAGTATATATCTTGTATTCCTTAACTCACATTTGATTTGACCAACCATGTTGAATGATAGACACACTGAATGAACAAGACACTCATAAATATTAATAAGCTTGAAGCTGATTGACAGGCAAGAAGAAACTAACAGCCAATTAGACGAGAGTTAATAAAAAATAATATGATCTTTATAAC